GAATATGAATTCTAAAAGTCTGTCTGTCCGTGTGTCCCACGAGGACATAGGATCGAATCCACACTTTGCTATAATTTTTTTTCAGTTAAAGAGTTCGTATGGAAATGCTTTTATATTATAGCATTCTCAACTGGTTTTATATTTTATTAAAATACAAAAATTTTAGCAATATTTTAAAGAATTATTTCAATTATTAAATTAATTTAATTTAAGTTTTAGGTTATATCAAGTAATTTTTATAATAATTTAATTTTAATTAGTGTACATATTATGTAAATAAATTTTATACAATAGTATTTTAATCACACAAACAAGTTTTACCAATTGTATAATAATCTTGATTTAATTCATTCAAAAATATATTAACTTAATAAATTGTTGCCAATTAACATTACAATACTAATCATAAATAAAATCTTAATATTAAAATAATATACGATTTTAAAATATTGGCAATAATTATTCAATTTACTATATTTTTTGAATAAATTTAGTAAAGCTTACTATATGTTTAAAGATTTTTTCGTATATTTTTCATGTGATAATATAAATAAATAAATATTTAAAAAAAATTTTAATATCAATAATTAAAAATATTTTGTATGTAAACTTTTTATAAATGTATATACTTTTAATGAATTTAAACTGTAAAAAATAAATGACAAATAATTAAAAACTAATTACATTTAATTGATTTGTAAAGAAATTTTAAACAAATTACACTTAAATGTTTAAGTGGTTAAACAAAAAATTACTTATAAATAAACTGTTATTCAAATGTTTAAACAGATACAGTATTGCAATTAAATGTCATTTACATTATACATACACATAAATAAACAAAAAATTTAAATATGACAGTAGTCTGTAGTTGACTTTAAATTTAAAAGACTATATAAAATTATAAATATATTTATATATATATATAACTCCAGTTTACAATTTTTTAAATTCTAATATAAATATTGTTTTATATGCTAGATGAATTAGAATTTTAATATAATTTGTTTGGTAATAAACATATTGATTACACTATTTAATAAACCAATATTATACATGTTTATATATGCAATTTTTACAAATTAAGTTATAAAATTTTTGTAATTTTCGCATTTTGTAATTTTTTGTTTTAGCAAAATAAACTAAAATAATTTTTATTATAATTTATTTGCTTGAAACAAATATTTAATTTTAAAAAATATCTTCAAAATCATTTTAATAGATATTTTTAGACATTATTATTTTACCAACTTTGACATTGCAAAAAGTATACATTTTTGACAATTTTTATTTTAATTTAATGTGCTCTACAACATACATGTGCCCAATAGACCGATTCCCATAAAGATTTACATGTCATCTAGTTTTATGTTTATAATATTATTATTTTTATTATTATTTTATCTTTAAAAAATACATTAAATAATTTTTATTATTTTCATCATTTTCCTTTACTCATTTTATATTTAGTTATTTTATGTAATTATTAATTCAACTTAAATAATGTTTGTTAATTTTAGTAATAATACAATCAATTAAACAAATAACGACTAATACTAGTATAATTAATAATATAAAATTCATTATTTTATTTAATAATTTATTTTATATATAAATATTTTGTTTTTAAGTGAATCTAAATCTAAATAATAAATATTATTTATCTAAGTATTATAATAAATTAAAACATAAACACAATTTAATAAATTAATTCAATTAATGTTGAAAAACAAATAACTATATACTGAAACAATTTGAACTAACATTATATTACAATATTTTTGTAATTCTTAATTAATGGTATAATTTAAGCCAAAATCTAGATATAAAAAGATCAGGTTTTTCCGTAATATTATATAAATGAAATAAGAGATGAAATAAATTAAACTAATTTATGAATTGTAATATTTTTTTAGTAATTCAATTTTCAATTCTATTAATTGCAGATTATTGCGTGCAATTGATATTATATTAATATTCATTGTTAAAAACATTTTCATTATTTTTTGAACTTTTTGAACAATTTTTTTTATTAATTGCACTTTTATTACATAATACTTGTTATTAACAAAATTAAATTCATTAGTAACAAATATTTTTTATATTGTGTATATTTTATAGATCTAATTTAATATTTATATACAATATAATATAAAAATAATTGATTTTAGATTATTAAGATATTTATTTGCTTACTGATAATATTTATTAATCATATAATATATGTTTTGCTATATAAATTTAATAACAATAAACAACTAAAAAATTATTATCAAAATAGTCTAAAAATATCGTTAACAGAGTTGGGAGTCATACAAACTTTGTATTATACAAAATGTATTATAGTATTATATTATGTTTATTTTTATAAGACTATCAATCTTACAATAGAAAAAATTAATTTAATTTTTAATATTAAATGTATTTATGTTTATATATTTTTCTAATTAAGATTTTAAAATTTATTTTCATATATACACACATTTATTCTGCTATTGGACAACGATTCTGATAAACAATATAAAAATAATGCAATAATTATATCTTTAATAAATAATTTTTATTAATACTTTTTATGACAAATTTGTTATATTATTGCAAAGAATACCCATTATATTGTATTTTATTGTATAATATTATTCAATAATTCTAAATCTTGTATGTTTGCAACCCTAATAGTGATTCACAGTTTCCGTGAAATACAAACACAATTTAATACCTTATATACAAATATAATTACATTTTGAATACTTTTACTACTTCTGTATTACACGCCATCAAAAGATATTTTTAAATAAAAATATTTTATAAACTGTATAAACAATTGTTTTACTATTTGATATGAAAATAATAATATACTAAATATCAATTTTCTAATCTATAGTTTTTAAATCAATAAAAATTAAATAAAATATGATTTATTTAAAAATAATTTACGTAACTTATAAACAAATGCTTTTCTTTATTCATGGATTAATGTAATTATTAAACCATATGTTTCTCAAGTGATTTATATTATCAAATAAAGTAATTAATATAAATATAAATTGATTGCTTATATTTTCATATAAATCTTAATAATTTATTATTGTATACTACAACTTCTTCTACTACTACTACTACTACTACTACTACTACTGCAAAGAAAATTTCTAGAATTTTAATGTAAATATTTTACAAAATACATTATAATAAATAGATATATGATATTCTAAAGTTTAATACTATATTTAATTTTAAATAAATAAAAGTGTGAATAAAGCATATAATACAGTATTAAATCTGTTAATTATAAATATTAACAAAAAAAATTTTTGATTAATTGTATTGCACTTCAGCAGCAGTTTAATCTAGAGTACAATAATATTGTTTAATGCAATTTATTTTCAATATATTAATATAAATTGAAATATATTTTTAATTGACAATACTATAATTCTTACTATTTAATTAATGGTATAACATTAATTAACATTATTTTATTGACAATATAAAATTGTAATGTGATTTATATTGTACTGTATATTAAACATTGTTATTTTTTAATAGATATACTGTAATGTTTTTACTAAATAAACAACTAATTATTTAATAATTATTTATTTATAAAATCATTAAATAAATATAAACTATCAAAATGATACAGTATAATGTATTAAATATTACTAATGTTGATTAAACAAAATATGCCACATATTGTAATGAAAAATCTTATATCAATAACATATTGATAAAAGTTGGTCATAGTTTGAATTCATCAAAAATCTAAATATGATTTTTACTGTAGTGTATATTTTATGCAAATAACTATTGATGACTTAAAAATTGCACTAATAATATATCAATAGTACATTTTAATTACTTTAGTTAATAAAGATATATAATTTATATATAGTATCAAAATTGAGTAAACCATTTGGTTTCAATGAAATTTAGTTGTTTTGAATTTTGAATTTGTTAATTGGATTAAGAAAGATGTCTGCAATTATTGTAATGTTAAGATTTAGTGCATTTAATTATTTGCAAATAACACAAAAGAAAATATTATTTTTTAAATAAAAATTTTATATTTAATAAAATAGTAATAAATTATTATAAATAATAATATTGTGTAAATAAAAGTATCAGATTTAAGTATATGATTTGTTAATAAATTTAGATAAATTAAATTAAATAAATACAAAATATGCAATTTTAATATACAGTATAATAATAATAGACTGTAAAATGAATAGTCATTAGTAATTGCAATCATAAGATATTAAATAATTTAAATACAGAATTTAATTGTTATATATTTCAGGAAAGGATTTATTTTTTGTTTAATATTCTTATAATTGAATAATTATTGTTTAAAGTTATTGATTAAAAGTAGCTATTTTTTGCATTTATGAATAATAAACACTATATAGCGTATAATATTAATTATATATGTTTTATGTGTTTTTACAAATTATTCAACTATAACTATTAAACGTTTAAGTTTATATTATCTAATTATTATTCTAAAATGTATAAAAATAATTTTAACATAATATTTATATTATTTTAATATATTAATACTATATTACGAAATATTCAATAAACAAAATGTACATATAGTACTGTAGAAATCACATAATGTACTGTACAGGTATACTATATTTTATTTAAGCAATTTTTATATTTACTATAATAACAACTACTGTATAATTATGAATCCTTATATCTGTTTAATTTTTTACTAAAGAATCTTAATAGCATAAAATATTTTAAAAATTTTAATAAAAAAATAAATTTATGTTTTAAGAGATTGTAAATATTGAACATTTAGCACATAATTTAAAAGTTTATTTTAAAAAACACTAAATCAGTGCCTCACCATTAAAAAAATTGTCAACATGTTTGGCAAACTTCTTATTAAATTTTTATATTTCAATAATACTTGTTATTGGTTGAGTTAAAACCTATAAAATTAAATTTTACATTTTATGCATATTTTTTAAAGTTTAGTTATCATTATATTGAATCTCTAGTGAACGTCGCATATGATTATCAGATGAGAGGATGTCATCCGATTCAATGATTGTATTGCAAGTATCAGTCACTCAACAAATTGATGAAATGAACAATCAATCCAACAATTCGTTTGCATTTTCCGATGAAAACGATCAACAGTTTTATGGCTTAGAGTTGACCCGATTTTCAGAGTTTTATCGACCAATTCATGGTTACCTTAGTTTAGCTGTTTGTGTGTTTGGTATTATAGCCAATGTGCTCAACATAATTGTCTTAACGAGGTTTACCATTGCATGTAATGGCATATAATTGTGTGTCATATAAATGAATGTATATTTTTGTAGGAAAAACATGTTGTCGGCGACGAACTGCATATTGACAGCAATGGCCGTATCGGACGTCTGTGTAATCGCGTCATACATTCCGTTCGCAATCCATAACTTTATTCGCACCGAAACAGAGGTCGAAGTGTTTTACGCATACGGGTGGGCCCTCTTCACCCTCTTTCACGCCCACTTCACTGTCGTTTGTCACACCATTTCAATATGGCTTACAGTAATTCTCGCCTTTTGGAGATATCTCGCCATAAGGTATGTTATGTTTCATAAAAACGCATCAATATATTCAAACAAATTATTTATGAAATTTTTATTATATAATTTTAAAAGATCTCCAACAAGTAGTAAGACGTGGTGCTCAATGAGTCGGGCAAAGTATGCCATACTCTGCGCCTATCTATTTGTTCCCATTTCTTGTTTACCACTATTTCTGTCATTTACTATCAGTGACTTTGCTCTCGAAGACAAACCAAATCAGACATTCTTTAAAGTAAGTGTTTAAATGTTTAGCATTTATTTCACATCAAATATCTTTTTTTCATTTCTTAACTCTTAAAAAATGTATTTTATATTCAAAATATTTGGTTTGAGTCGATCAATGAAATGATTTATTCAATCACACCATAAATCTCTAGATAACAACAATTGTTGCATAAAAGCGATAAACATTACATTTATGATAAAAAATTTAGCTTTTCATTCAACTTAAGTAAATCAAAATATATGTCTTATTTGATATTTGTATTATATTTTAACAATACAATCGACTTATTCAAAGTCAGGGCACAACTGTTACAAGATATGCATTTAATATACTTTTTATAAATATCTAAATAAATCAATTGTAGTTATACTTAAAAACTAAAGTATGCATTATATAATATAAATGTTTTTCAAACACTTAAATAATCAAAAATATTATAAAGTAACACTTGTTGAGCATATTAGTTAATATATAGTTTGTTAGTTTTTTTTATCTAATTAGTTATATACAGTATATATCTAGAGATTATAATAATATTGAATTAATTAAATTATTATACAGTATTTGTATCGTTCAGATTTGAATATCATTATTAAAGTTTATATTAAGTATTGAGAGATGTTTTTATTATTCAAAGTTAAGGAAAAAGCTATTATCGATTTGGTATTCAGTGATATAAATCCTGTTTAAATTGATAAGAGCTATAGAGAAGTCAAAAAATGTTAAGTAAATATTAAAGCTTTTTTAACATATAATTTGTTTTTGAATTTGATTTTCAGAAAATAGAAAAAGCATTCTCTAAACCAAAATATAAATAAATTTCCATTAAAAATATTTTGAATATTTTTCTTTATACTCAAATTTCTAGTTATTAATATTTTAAATATTTAATACAATGACTTGCTTAAATCAACTAACATAAATAAATAATCTATTTTTATACCGTATTTTCACGAAAATACTTTAATTTAGTTAGATTTTAAAATAATCATCATTTAATATAAGATAAATAGATATAATTATTGGTATTGTAATAAAAATAGGATATTTTAGTGTCAATAATAAAGATATAAGCATTGGATTCATGGCTAATCCGGAACAGTTAGCAATGCTATTTAAATATCAAAATATTCAAACATCACACAACTTAGTATTATATGTGTTATAAATTATAACTTATGACATGATATAAAATTTAATAATATAACATAATATATTAATATTTGTTAGTTCAGTATTTTAATAAAAATAATATTTTGTTTTTATGTAAAGTTAATACATTACTTTAAAGTAACTATAATAATAGCAAACAAAATTGTAGGTTTCAGTTATAATAAAATAATAACATATACTAAATATTTGTGAGGGAATTTAGTATTTTAATTAATTTTTTTCAACGCTATAAGTAAACTAAAAATCAGTTTAAATTAAATTTTTTGAGCTATAAATTATATCAATACTTTTTTTACTTCTATACTGAAAATATAAAATTAAAAAATTCAGTTGTTATTAAAATAAAATTATGTTATTTAATTTCAATTTTATATAACTTAATATTTTAACAAATTATAATATAACATATTTAATATGTATTTTGGTTAGCAATTCAATAGTTTATTCCAAATTAAAATAATAAAAAATATATATATTTGATGAAAATTATAATTGAAAATATGTATGACAAGTAGAGATGAGCTAAAAATAGTTTCTAAAAAAAAATTCAGGAATATATTTCTATAACTTAATTGTTATACTATGGGATCCCCATATCTATAGCTATTGTAATACTATATTAATAAGACATAATACTTACATTCAACATTTTATGATATATATCATAGTTTAATATAAATAAATAAATAATTTGTTTACTTTATTTAATAGTTAAAATACTTATAATAATATTTAATTATTACTTGTAAAAACAATGTATTGTTAGAAGATAACAAAATTAACATAGGGATCCCATAGATAAAAATTTCTTTTATTATTTTTATAAATTTCTTTTTTTTGCCAACACTAATTAAAAGTAATTGAAATTATATTTTTTAAAAGTAATTATTTGATTAAAGATATAATTGTGAAATTGTATTACAACAACAACAACAGCTACAGCTAAAAGTACTGTAGAGTACATTATATACACTATAATAAGTTTTAAAAATGTTTGCATTTCAGGTGGATTTCAGCTCAATTGCCGTACAAAACAATGAATTGTTACAAAAGCTAAACTTTTGGGTGTTTAGTGTACTCTTAAAATTAATTCCCTGTGTTTTGCTAACAATACTTAGTTTAGCACTAATAAGAGTCTTAGTGGAGGCAAACAAACGAAAACAGAGACTCTTGTCATCCAATATTGCGCTAAAAAATAACTCAAATTTAAACACAAACTCATTGGTGACGACCAGTAATACGTCTCCGAAGAATAGTTGCGAGAAAACTGTCGGCCGTAACGCCAGTCAACAAACCAGCGATCGGACGACCAAAATGTTGGTCGCAATACTTATCATGTTTTTGGTTTGTGAGTTCCCCTCCGGTATATTAGCCCTATTGAGTGGCATATTTGGTAAAGTATTCTTCAACAATGTGTACAACAAATTTGGTGATCTCATGGATATGTTAGCATTAATCAACTCAGCCGTCAATTTTGTCCTCTACTGTCTTATGTCACAACAGTTTCGTAAAACATTTACTAAATTATTTTGTATGAAAAATGAAATTGAAATTAACAGACACTCCTATCATTTGGCACAGTCTGTCAATACTAATACATGTAATACAGCTTGTGTTTAGACAGTCAGTCTATAGTATAGAATCTATATATTTATACACAATATTCTCGATTATACAGTAGTTACTGAAATTAAATTTTTTGTATTATATAATAATAGATAGTAAACTTAAATATGAATATAAGGTAAATATTATTATTACTTAAATAAATTTAAGGTATTATATATTTATATTTTATTTAGTTTTATTTTTCTAACTATAAATAATATCATAGTATTATTTTAGATTTAAATCAGTAGTGTATTTGTGTAAAATGATAGTAAATAACATTTATTGACTAATTCAATGTACTAACTAACTGCTCACACAATTTTTTGTATATTAATGTATATTTTGTATATTAGCACTTTATATACAGTATTATACAGTATAACTTATCTTAGTTTACAGTCAATGTAATAAAATAATTTATTATCAAATATATTTAATATTTAAACTAAAAGTCCACATTAATAAGTCTTAGATTACAATAGTTATTAATTATCTGTAATAAAATTATAATATACAAAGATATTCTTTATTAATTTTAATGCCATAAAAATCTATTTAATGACATTAAAAATATCAAATACAATCAATAAATTCAAATATATTATAAAACAAATAACTTTAAAAGGTCAAAACACTCAACATTTATTAGACTTTTTAATTATAACATAATTTTATTGTTTATCAACAAATGTAAACATCTTCATAAATATTAAATATACAGTATATGTACTGTACTTTAGATATAATATATAGATTATGAGTGAATACGTATTATTAATATAATTATTAAATTACATAATTTATAAATGTTAGACAAGTCGTGCTTTTGACTTATAAATATTATTCTTAGACATAAATTTTTATATAATAATTAATTATAGTAATTGACTTTAAAATTAGTTTATTTTAATTAATAAATTATGGCTTATAATGTAAAATATACTATAAAAATACTAATCAATTATTTTATATATAATATTGTTTAAATATATTGTTGATTTATTTTATAAATCTATGTTTAATTAATAATAATATAATTATAAATATAATACAAAGTTGTATATAATATTATTATTATATATATATTTATTCCTAACATACTTAAACTGTATGTATTGTGATATAATATGTACAATATTTTTATGTTGACTTAATTTATATAATTTTTATATAGCTCAATATACTGTATGATATGATAGATTAAAATATTTATAATTATTAGAGTGTTTATTAAAATACTATTTAAAATATATTAATTGGTTCAATAAATTATTAAAAATTAAATATTATAGTTTATTTAATATATACTAAAAATATAGTTAAAATATAATAAATGATAAAATAAAACATATGGTAGTAGTAAAAGTAAATAATAATAATAATAATAATAATAAACATTACATTATAATTTTCATACCCTTTTATTGTCAAACAAAACAGTTATATACTAGAAATACAGTAGTATTACTGTAATATATTTTTAAACAGTATTATATAGTATAATGTAAATAATACAAAATAAATTTTATAAAGGATTTTAATAAAGGATTTCATCGATATTTTTTAATGGCATTTCTATAGTATAATAGAAACTAACAAATTTAAATGGAAAAATTATATCTAAATAAATTGTTTATTCATTTTGAAAATAAATATTTTTATTTATTAAATGAAATGTTTTTACATTACAACTCGTTTGTAGTTATTTTTCAAAAATGATTAAAATATAAAAGCTAAATATTTTCGTTTCTTTATAAAAATTAGATTATCATTATTTGATAACTTATTTTGTTGTATATTAATTATAGTGAAATTATTGTTAGTAAAAAAAATATAATATAAAACACGTTTATTTAAAACTTTCAAATTTGTTATTTATAAATTTATTATACTGTATTTATATTATATTTGGTAACTATAGAATCTACAGTATAGTATAGATTACTTCAAAGATGACAAAAAATTATTGAATCTTAATAACAAACATTTAGTTAACAAATATTGTTTGTTATTACAATAACTTTTTTTTATCTTTTTTTAATATACTAATTTAATTTTTATTTATACAGTAAATATAACCTATTATAAACATCTCTAAATAAAATTTATGTTATAATAAAAGCTGTATTTTAGTATATTTACAAATTAAATGCAAAATACGATATTAAGTTTGAAATTTTAAACTTCTTTTGAAAAAATTATATTAAATATCATTCAAAATTATTAATAATATTTAGTTAACATTAAGTCTATGTTAATATTTAGTTTTGAATTAGTACTAAACTTAAACATAAATATACCGTACAAATATTACATAATATTAATGTACGATATAGTGTATACAAGTATTTTTAATTATGATATTATTTTATGAGATTTTCTCTCATTAGTGTATTTAATGTCAAACATTGGAATTTTTTGATTTGAATGTCATTTATTAATTTTTAAAAATAATTATGAGTTATTGTCTGCAATTAAAATAGATTAAATTTTTGGTAACAATATAGTGTAATATACTGTATGCTTATTTTATGTGATCTCATGTAAAATTGCAATCAAGTTGTAAATTATATGTATGTATAAAAAGTATTGTATAGTAAAATGCAGTGGAAATTCAAAGAAAATAACTCATTTGGTAAGTTTTTAAGTTAAATTAAAGTAAATAATAATAATAATAATAATAATAATGCAAATTTGTTGTCTAAATATTATAATAATTAAAATATCAAGAGTACCGGAAAAGGGAGTCATTGAAAATGTTAAGCAAATATCCGGATCGCATACCAGTTAGTAGTAAATACTAATGTAATTTAATGTAAAAATGTTTGGTGTGTTTTGTCAAACAATATAATTAGGTGATAATTGAAAAATATGTTAATTCAAACATAAGTTCAATGGACAGGGATAAGTTTCTGGTGCCATACGACTGCACTGTCTCGCAGTTTCAATGGACTATCCGTAGGCGATGCCAATTGTCGGCGAGTCAGACCATCTTTTTGTTTGTTGGCCGCACTTTACCTCAATCTTGGTATAAATTATATCCATTTATTATATTATTTAAATATATATTGAGATTTAAATTTATTTTGCTATATTTAAACATTAATTAATATAAATTTACTGTAATTTATTTGATATATTTTCATATGGTATTAATTATCCTAATTGGACAAATCAGTCTTAAATTTTACAATTACTTAAAATTTTATTATTTCAAATCTATTATGATTTATTGATATTTATATACTATAAAAATATAGATTTAGTTTTATTGTAAAGAAAACATATAAATACAGTTATGCTGTAATATAGTGCTCTCATGGGTGAGATATATCAACAGCACAGGGATGAGGATGGCTTCCTTTATATGGCATTCAGCGGTGAAAATACTTTTGGAAATAACTAACTAATCATTACATTCAACAAACACATCAATTTTAATATTAATAGCTTTCTTGAATAAAAAAGTTATTTTCATTTATAATTTCTAATAAAATGCTATACTTTTTCCAAACTATTTATGATAAGTAACATCAAATTTATAACAATAACCCGAATGTCAATATTATTTTAGTGATAAATAATGTATTAAATGTCAATCTACTGGTATATACTGTACATATTATATATAGTATATATTATATTTATTGTATATGTTTTAGATGTTTAACGTAATATATATAAGATTTTACAGAATCAGCATTTGTCGCAACTAAATAAGAAAAATAAAAATAATTTTAAAATGTATCAATTTATACAAGTATTACATAAGCAATCTTCATGTATTGAATAATAATAAATCGATTTGTTTTCAAATTGTAGCCAAATTGTCAAACTATGTGTCAAATAATTCAATGGATAAACCATTTTAAAAATTACATTAAATTTTAGTGTATTATATTGTATGACTCAAATGCCTTATGGTTTACTTTAATCACAACGTTATAAACATTTTAATAGTGTTTTGATTAAAATTCTAAAATTAATTAAATTAATGTTTTTATTGATTTTGAAAAAATATAAACTAAAATATTTATAAAATTTATAAATACTTCTTTAAATAATAAAAATTCTTAAGTTTTATATGCAATAGTACATTATAGTATTACGGTAATGATAATATTTTACAAAATTTAAAAGTATTGCATAGAAATACATTATACAAAATGTAATAATTTGTATTATGCTTATAAGTTTCAAAAATGATGGATTATAAAGCATTTTTAATAATAATTTGAATTATTAAAAGACAACATCGTTAAAAATAAATATATTAAAAATTTACACTGAAAATATATAGTGTAGTAGTAGTATATACAGTATATAATATATATTAAATTTATATTAAATCAGACATTAAAGTTTGTTTTTTCACAAAAGACATTATATATATATAAATATCATACAATTTTTGAAAGAAAAATCGATTTTTGTTTTTTTTGTGTTTGAATTGCGAATAATTATTGCAATATTTGTTTCGGACATAACTTTTTCTGTCGGACAGAACTCTCGTTTAATACAGTTCTATAGTCTTATTGCAATACATGCTATACTAATAAATATAATTAAATTACATAAAGTAGATAATCATTTACTTTTAATATTTAATTATTTATAAAATATCTATTTTAAAAGTAAAAAATATAGAAAATATTAAAATAATAATAAGTACAGTATATTTAATATAGTAAATACAGTATATACCAGTGTTGGCAAAGAGAAAGTGTATGTATAATACAAAGAGTATTATACAGTATAATACAATGTAAATTACATGATAATTTTGGCTTACAAAAAAAATTTTAGCGCCACCTAGTAACAAAAATACAAAAATTCACAAACAAACACATGTTTTGTAATAATAATTATTTTTTATTTAAAAAAATTTTGAAATTAACTATTCAATTTAATTCTGGTATTGGAATATATTAATAAAATAATTAATATTAATTTTTAATAGTTTTAGAAAACACCGATTCTAATAATGATATTGAAATTAAGTAATAATAATAATTTTAATAAAAAAAATAAATATTTTATCATTGTTAATGTAATTTTTCTATAATTGTAAAATACATCCAGTACATTGTATTTTACTGTAATTTACAAAGCCAAAATTGAAAACCTTGTATTTTTCCAACCCTGGTATATACAGTAATTTATACAGGACATATAATATATTTGTATACAATAAATCATATTTTATACGAATATATTAATTTTAATTGTTTTAAATTAAAAATTATAAAACAAAAGCATTTATAAAGTTTATAATACTTTTTATTTATTATAATATCTGTAGTTATTAATCATATTTGAAATTTACATAAATAGATATCAATATTTGACAACTATATGATAGTAATTAAATTTATTAAATTAAACGCTATAAATAATTATAAACAAGTATTTATAATAATTTTAAATAAAAATTACTTATTTATTAAGCAATAATAATGCAAATATATAAAGTAATCAAAATACTTTGTTATATGAATATAAAGTTGGCGTAAAATAAAATTACAAAAAATTATTAATTAAAAAATTCAATAGCGATTATTCCAATTGTTTACACCAGCCTTACTCCTAACAGTTGATGGCATAGATTTATTAGAGGTTACCCTACCATAGATGGGCTCATATATGGTGTCATTGAGTGATGTATAGGGATCTGATTCGGAGGAGTTATAGTTTGAATAATATGATGATTTGGATCTTTTCTTTTTAGTCAATGGCGGCAATAATGTGTTGATATAACCGCTTGAAAACACTTTTCTCATTTGACGCCAAGCCATTGATTTCTTGGACTGTGTGGCCACTGGTCTCATAAAATTGGTTACTCTCGCCTCTAAACCACAATAATACGGATCCTCGTCTGTAATTCAAATTTATTAATTTAATTTATGAAAAAAATAAATTATATATATTTTTAAATTATTACCTTTTTTAAGAAAAGATTTATTTTTCAATGTTTTAGAAGTAATTGTATAAAAGTCTTCATCTTGAGAGTAATCGGGTGTCGGTATGTCTATATGACTATGACTTGCACTCAGTTTTTTCGTATTCTTATATTTACCGAAATCTCGCGGCGGAAGCTTTGGTGGCTTCGGTTCCCTTAGAGTTGATTTCTTCATTAGTGTTCCGTTGTTTGTGTAATAATTCAAATCATAAACCGAACCGTTGACTGGCAATGAATATGGATTTTCTTCAACTAAGTGTTTGTCTGATTTGTCAAAAAGTGAGACCCAATCCGGAACTTTAGTCGTTCCTCTATTTAAAGATTTCGCCGATTTATGAATATTTTGTCTTATAGTATGAGGAACTGGAGTAGAGATATATTTTTTTAAAACCTTAAAACAATTTATTTTAATAACTTACTTAATGTTAGTTTAGATTTCAGTAAATCTAAAGCCACTATATTAATGATCATAACATAAACCGGGAGATCGAGAATATTAGGTGTATTTCTCACAAAAGCTATACATAAAAGACATTGGTTTTCCAGTTTCTTGCGGTTTGGATACGCGGACCTCAGCTCACGGGTCACGTTGTTATTGAACTTTGACATATCAAACAATAGATAAGGCTTTTCGAGTTCAAGTAAACCATTATTTTTGATGATTTCATTGGAAACACTCGACTCATTAAATTCATTTTGAAATGACTTTATAAAAATACTGCATCGACTGTACCGTTTGATCACAATGTTTCCCGTTTCGTCCATTTTTATCCGACATCCCTTTAATATCATTATATAGTTATTTAATAAAAAAATATCACTATAATATCATAATTTAGTGTATAGTTTCTTAAGACATTTATATTTTTTATTAATATTTTTACTGCCAATATATTAATTGTTAAAACAATATTTAATAACTTATATTAGAAAATAAAAGTCAATTATTTACTTTGCAGTATTTAATAAAAAAATGTTTAAATAATTGAAATTTTATAATCATATAATTTAATTTTTTTAATTTATTTGAATAATTGTTTAGTTTAAACAAAACAATGTCTACTAATTAAATAATAAACTGTAGTTAAAAAATGGGGTCATAAATATTTTTGTAATTAATTTTTTATTTGACCAAATATCATATTTAACTATTTGTGATAAGTGAATTAAATTTTTTTTATTATTATACACTATATTAGAGTATAATGCATATAAATTTTATACACTGCATGTATTAGTATTATACTGTAGTATATTTAATAAAGAGTATACTGTTTAATATACGATATAAAATTTTGTTGACATTTTAATGTCTTTTATCCAATATTATCGATAAGGTTTAAGAAAAGATATTTTTTGAGAATAAATAATTATATTTGTTTATTATTAACTAATTTATATTCAAGAGGAAAATAAATAAATTTAAATTTTCTTAAAATTAGGTTTATACTTATATATACTTATATATACTTATATATTATTGTTTAATATTACAAAATTACAAATTCGTATTGTTTTATTAAGAGTGAGTTTTTTAATCATATAATTAAAAAATAAGAATATATGCCATTAAAATATTATATTTATATATATACACAAATATAAATAATACATATAATAAAGAATATATAGTTTATATACAGAATAGTGTCAATATTATATAATTTAATGATAAAAGCGTGAAATAAAATAAAACAATCAATTTTTACGAGTCATTTATCATTATTACTCACCACTACTTCAACTATAATCTTAAATATCATAAAGAGTTAAAAAATGATTTTTCTATTCGTTACTATATTTTTATAAAAATATATACAAAATAAATGGATTTTTCTTTATAGTAAAGAACTTGTAATAAAATTTCTAATTAATTATTAAATCATTAATTATCAAAACAATCTCAACGTTTTATTATGAAATAAAATAAATTTGTACATTATTTACTGTAGGTATTGTTTTAATAGATTTATGGTTAAATAGCAAATAAAATTTATTGACTGCATTAAGTATTATATATTGCGATTTTGCGATTTAAAACTTTAAAACAAATCTATCTATTGATTAATATGATCAAAACGTTACAGGAATTACAAGAATAATATTAATATAACTTAATTAAAATTAAATTTAAAAAACATTATAATAGATGAAAAAGAGTGTGTCAACCACTTTCAAGTAGCAGTCAATTGAAAAACTAATATAAAAGTTATTTAATAATTTGCGTCTATTATATACAAAATTTGTTTACAAATTATATATACCGGTACTGTATTATTACAACAAGTATGTTATTAAGTGAAATGCTTTTTCTAAATGTTTATTATTGTTTGCTTTGATTTTTATTAATTTTAAACTATTTATTTTACTGTGAAAAATGTGAAACCGAAGAAAAAATGAGTGATTGAATAAACAAGTAATTGAGTGTATGTGTATGTGTATGTGTATGTGTATGTGTATGTGTATGTGTATGTGTATGTGTATGTGTATGTGTATGTGTATGTGTATGTGTATGTGTATGTGTATGTGTATGTGTATGTGTATGTGTATGTGTATGTGTATGTGTATGTGTATGTGTATGTGTATGTGTATGTGTATGTGTATGTGTATGTGTATGTGTATGTGTATGTGTATGTGTATGTGTATGTGTATGTGTATGTGTATGTGTATGTGTATGTGTATGTGCATGTGTATGTGTATGTGTATGTGTATGTGTATGTGTATGTGTATGTGTATGTGTATGTGTATGTGTATGTGAGAGAGAGAGAGAGAGAGAGAGAGAGAGAGAGAGAGAGTTGTCAAGTGCTTTAAGGAATAAGAGTTTGTGTAATTCATTTACATTTAAATGTGACTCTAATTTTTAAAAAATATTATTTATATTTAATATTAATATAAAACCTGATTGACTTAATAGACCAGTAAAACTACTGTTTTTCATTTATCATATAAACTACAATAACTGTGTAATGTTTTCTTTAATAGTATAATAAAATGTAATTACTGTTTGAATTAAAGTTTGAAAGAGAAAATCATGAAAACAATAAAAATCAACGAAAGATATTTCTGATTGGAAATAGATTTATAAATCATATAATGTTTTATACAATCATATAATGACATAACAAATAATCACTTCCTCTACATATAGCATGACTGTGAAAACATAAAATCAAAATAAGATTACATGTAATATAAAGATTAGCCAATAAAAGTCTGCATTATCTTTCAAAATATATATAATAAATATACCACAATAACAGTATATAATATACATATATAATATAATAATGTATATTGTAATATGATATTAAATTATATAAATTAGTGGCACCTATACGAAAAACTAAAATAAAAAATAATATAAAATAACTAAAAAACAATATGAGTTATACATACAAATATACGGTATTACTAAGTCATTACATTTCCTTATATGCTAATCGTATTGCCGTTTTGCAACAAAATGTTAATATTTAACAATTTAATATAAATTTTTATATTATTTAAAATATATAACCAACCATTTCCTAATGTTTATTTTTCTATTAAATCATATAATTAAAATCTGTTAATTTTTAACATAAATTCATTAATTATTTTTTCAAAATCATTTTTTCCTTGAACTTACTTTAAAAATTAACTATAGTAATAATTTATTTCATTAGATATTGTTTCATATTAAATAATTTTTTCTGATAAAAATCTTTTTTATAATTTTAATATTATTTCGGTACCAAATTATTTATCATAATAATTTATTTCGGTAACTAACTTAGAAAATTACAGGTAGTTTCAAGTATATTTCAATTTACTTTATAATAATATTATTAATTTATATGACTAGCACTTTAAATATAAAAATTAAAAAAACGATTAATGATTTTTAATGATAACAAATGTCGCATTTATAAATATAATAATACTGTATATTATAAAAACATAGATTTAATTTAGTTTACCTTAACTTCAAAAAAGAAGGTAAAATTGTAGGTTTAGTTCTCATAAGTGTTTTTTATTATAATCTCAAATATTATTTTTTTAATCTAGTAATTTGACTAAAATATAATCAATAATTAATAATTACATTTAGCTTACAATTCAAAACATGTAATGACATAACAGTATTGTTTTGATTCATTACTTAAGTCAAAATTCAGTGGTTTATGACTGTACTCTCAAAGTGATAAACAGCTTTAACTATAGATTTTGGTAATTTTTACTAATATGAACTCTCACAACAACAACAAAACATAAATCATCAAATTATAATTATTTTTATATAGATTTTCAAGTTAATGACTAAACAGTAAAAACAATAATAAAAATGAGTTAATTGCCTCAACATGTCATTAGTGGTCAAAAGTAATTGAATGCTTTTTCTATACATAATATTTTTATAGCTATGCTATATAAAAGATTGTAATAAAAGTCTCATTTTAATTTAATCCAAATGTAAGTCAATAAAAAACTAATAATAAATAAGAAAATGTAGTATCAAATAGATTTTGTAATATATATAATAAAATAAACTCATATTTGCATTGCTTGTACATTAAATGCTTTATATAATTGCAAATTGCAATAAACTACTAAATTAATTTTTGTACTCTAACCAAAAAATACAGTAAACTCATTAATACCATTTACTAGATACAGGTATAATTATCATAGGTAAATGTTAACATCTAATTTTATATAATATATTAAATACTGAATATTTGTTTTTAGTATAATAAATCTAATCTACTTTCTTGAATTTTGATAAAAATTAATTTTTGAATCCACTGGAAAACTTAAACATTATCATAATAAAATATTATGTAATTATTATTATTAAATGAAAAAAATCAATAAAAACTTATAACATTTATTATTAAATATTTTAATTGCTAATTGATCTCAGTGTGTATTATAAATACTATAGTACTAAATTATATACCGATATTGACATAATTGTGAAATAACATTTATTTATTTATATATATATATATATATATGATTTAATTGATAGATATGATTACAATATATGATATATATTGTAGGATATATACAATAGTACAAAACATCATAAAGTATTTTATTAATAACTATTGAATAAAATACATTAAATTATTTTTAAAAATTCTTAAATAAACTGTAATTTGTGTTTATTATTAGATAGGAAATGGATGTTTATCAATGAAGTTATCAATAGTAATGATACGGTAAGAGTATTATTCAGAAAAGACAAATAAATTGAATGTTTTTTTTTTATTAAATTGTATAAACATTTAAATATAAAAATAAATGAAATCAATTGTGACATTACTTTTCCGATATATCGCATGACATCTTCTGTTTTGACGTCAAGGAAAGGATTGTCAAATCCATTTAATCCGATCCGATAGCCATCGAAGCCATCATGTGATCCATCAATGGTTAAAACAGGCGCCCGAGCGTAGGCTTTGGCAATACGACGCTTACCATTCATGCAAATGACTTTCGCCCAAATCTCATCATCGATTTGCTCCCATTTATTAAATACTTCTTGAATGTGATCCTATTATGTTTATTAAATTATGTATTAAACAAAATGTAAGTTATATAGTAATTATGTTAAGTAATTTATATTTATGTTTAATTTTAAATGAGATTATATGCTGCTATTCATAAAATAATAAAATAAAAAATAAGTGCATTTAGTATGACATGAGTGACAAACTTAATGTCGAAACAAAAGACCTGACATATAATTTGTCGGATAATTTCAATAAAATATAATAAAAGCTTTTTTCTAAAACACAAAAGCTTTATAATAAACCAACAAAAATGAGTCATAACTTTCGCTTATACTTTATATATAATGTAATTTATATATACTTTATATTGTATTTCAATAATGTTTAACTTGACATTCATAGCAGTCTATAGCATAATACAGTATATATACAGTATATTCAATATGATTACACAATTATTGTGTTTATTATTAAAAATATTAAAAGAATAGAGTTTAGGGTTTAGACCTTCTTTACACATAAATAGTAAACTTTTCGCATATATTTATAAAATGTTATAAGAGTTATAAATTTGTGCCCAATTTTCATATAAATTTTGCTAAAATATATAAACATATAATGTTTACTATATATGGCACGAAAAAGAAGATTCTGAATCATTAAAGTAGGAGTCAGTCCTTAAAACATTTGAATAATAATAATATTATTTTGTTATACAAAATAATGTTTACATATCAAGGATTGCCTTATCAACCCTTCTTTCTCTTCCTAACCATAAAATAACAACAAAATATGAAATTTAAATAATTTGTTTGATTATTATCTTCTGGTAAATAAAATATATAATCAACAAAACTATACAAAAATTTGCTAAATATATATATTTAAATATATGAAAATCGATTTTCACTTAACTATGCTTTTAATATCATTTAAACTTTAAACATTTATCAATATAATGAACAAAAAATGAACTGATTATATTAATAATTGTCAAAACTTATAAATGTTTACTATTTATATATCTATCTAATGATTACTACACTTTAATATAATAAAATTGGTTTTCAAACGGATTCATTCAATCGGTTCAATGGTTCACTATATTTAACCGTTTATATAAATTATCAATACTTAGAAATATATTTTTATGATAAATAAAGTGAGTATAAAAAATATGATTAATATAATAGAAAGAGAAAAAAAATTATGTAACAAAATATTTACCGCAAAGAGTTCCTCTTTGGTTAACCAAACGGTATTTTCATCGTCAAGTTGTTGCAAATAGGTATCCAAATAATCGCACGGATCGAGGGAACGGGATATAATCCGTCGTCGACTTATCATTTGTTTTACATATAAGTTGTCAAAACTGTCTAAAAAATTGTTAAAACTTTTTCAATCACTTTATAAATAATTTTCAATCACTTTCTATTATTAAAAAACTGTTATACTTTCTAATAAAAACAATTATGACAATCAAAATGACACTATGTTTGCAATAATAACAATATTTGAATTATTAATAATAAATATTTAAAAGTTGATGTTTAAACACATAGCTCTGGGACACCAAACAGTTAGTGTTTAACTGTTGTCTGTGTAAAATAGGTCAGCCATCTCTACTTTACCATTGCTTGTCACTCCTCTCCCACTTCCAACCTCTTCAAGCCATAGCTTACGGGTGACCTATTTATCAGTAAAATCATAGCAAACACTAGTTGTTTAAAGGTCTGCATTTGAGTAAATCATTTACTTTAGAGACATCAACACTGAAAGTCAAACGTGTGATCCTTTTTCACAAACTATTGACGATTATTATTGTCGTCTATTATTTGATAGTTTTATCCAATCGATTACACAAATAAGGAAACTTATCGCTTGAATTATTTTTTCACAAATAAATGTTTTGACCAAATTTGTAGGGTTTTTTAAAATCTATATTTAGAGTAATTGGTATTATCAGTAATTTTTAGAAAATTGACATTATTTTACGATAATAAAAATTTCCATAAATATATAATAATAATAAATCATCAATGCAAATTACGTAATTGGTTATTAGAAATGTATAATTTTATGACATTTTATTTTTCATAGGGTTTGCTATCGGTTTTGTTTTATATGTAAATTAGTAAAATCGGTTGATTTGGTTTAGGTTTGTACTGTACTGTACTCTATAATTATGAAAAGTAAGATAGACTTTTACATACATACTGTATAATACTTATTATTATTATTATATATTTTATAATCTTTTGTATGTTATATAAATTTAATTGCAATAATTTTGAAGCCAATAATAATAAAAATTATTCAAATTAATAATTAAGATAATCTAACACTTTGAATTATAGTATATAAAAAATAAATTTATTATTTGATAATTATAATACAACTGTGAGTAATATATAAAATATAATCAATATATTTAATGGTTTCATAAATATTTAATTTTAATAAATTATTAACGAATTTTCGGTAATTATTAAAAATACTGGTTGAATGAATATTAAAGATTTATTATTATTATTGTCAATTATACTGTACATTAAGTTTTATTGTACATTATTATTTTAATTTATAAATAACCTAAAAGTAATGTTATAAATGCTTAAAATATTATTTAGCAAAATATTGTTTCCACCCATATTTTTTGTAATAATTTAGTAAAACGTATATTTGACCAAAAAATGACCAATAGCAAAATTATATTAACAAAATGTATTTTTTACATTAAATAAATAGTTAATCAGATAAGTGATAACAACAATTTAGCTTAATATTTATGTAAATTTCAAATAGATTTAATAAAATAAATTTCTATTTTGAAGTGAAAATTTGATAAACATAAATTTTATCATTAGATGTAAAAAATTTATACAAAAAACTAATAAATTGATAAACAAAAACTATAGAATCTATAGTATAGATATTATTATATAACTTGAAATACATAAATGGCTAATAAAAAGAAAAATATTTTATGTCTAAAACATATTTAATTCTCAATTAGTCTCATTCATTGAATTTAAGTATAAATGAAGCCTTTAAATGCCAATTAATTATATTATAACGTTATATTATAGATCATAAATTCAGTTTTAATTTTCTATATGTAACAAAATAATGTTTATGTAATTTAAAATAAAAACAAAATAATTATCGACTAATATGATATGATAATACAATTTAATATAATATATCTATTGTATTCAAATGAAATAGATTTTCAAATGAAATGAAATTTTTCAAAATATATATTTTTAAATTTATAATAATATTTGAAATTATAGTACACATGAATGCATTGTAACTTACAATACATTTAGTGCAATGACTTTAAAAGTATTTTTGTCAAAATGATTGTAAAAATTACTAAAAATATTTGTTTTTACATTTGACACAAAAATTAAGTTATTTGTAAAGTTTTTACATTAGATTTGTTTCAATCGATTCAATGTTAATCTAATTATTAATATATATATATATATATATATATAGTAAATGATTAAAATTATATTTATAGCAATACAGTTAAATTTTTATTAATATTTTAGTTATTAACAAATCGTTAACTTTGATTAAGTCATTATATAATGATTGATAAATTTGCTTAAATTATAGCAAAAATAATTAAGATATCGATAATAAATAATTAGATATTTATTAATAGTTTGTAAAACATAAAGATATGAATTAGCGATAAATATATATATATTAATAATTTAAAGAATAATTTGTTTTTTTGGTAAAAAACTTAAGTATAAGTGATTACAATGAGTGCAACAATAGTGTAGTCAAAGAGTGACCACAAGAGTGCCATCAGTGGCGACATCATTGGTGCGCATGTGTTGACAATGAAGGCATTAATGGCGACAAAGTCTTAACAATTGATTGAAATAAGTGTTTGTTTGGCCACAAAACGAGTCAATCGGTGATAATGTCGACGAAATCACAATCGGGTCCATCGTTTCGTATGTCTGAAGGCGATTGGATCTGTGACGACGAGAATTGTCAAAATGTGAATTTTGCCCGAAGAATGAATTGCAATATCTGTGGTAAAGACAAACCAATGGATGAGCGGCTTAAAGACAAGGAGGACGCGAAACGCAAAATTGGTCACGAGATCGGTAAAGCGGCCGCCGAGAAGTCAAAGGGACTCTTCTCGGCCGATGACTGGCAGTGTGGACGGTATGCCACATATGATTTGGTGCACTGATTGACGTTTGGCTGACCTATAGGTGCGGTAATGTCAATTGGGCCCGAAGACACACCTGCAACATGTGCTCCGCTCCGAAATTTAGTGACAACGAGGAGAGGACTGGTCTCGGAGGTGGTTATAATGAACGCGACCAACACATCGAATACAAAGAAAGGGAGGACAGCGACGATGAATACGACGACTTCGGACGCAAAAAGAAGAAGTTTAGAAAAGGAGACAACGGTAAGGATGACAACAATATTAGTGATAATAATCGGAAAGATAAACGTGAAGACAAAGATGATGAAGAAGAAGAAGATAAGGCAGACGTTTCTAAATATAAGTTGAATTCGGATGAAGAAAAAGAGGAAGAGGAAGACGTTTCCAAATACAAGTTGAATTCAGATGACGACGACGAGGATGAAGAAGAAGGAGATGTTTCCAAATATAAGTTGAATTCAGATGACGACGACGAGGATGACGAAGAAGGAGATGTTTCCAAATATAAGTTAGATTCAGATGAAGACGATGATGAAGATGATGACGACGAGGATCTTTCAAAATATGATTTGAGTGATTGTGTCAACAATAAAAAGTAACAATTGATTGGATAATAGTTGTGAACAATTAAATATTGATTTTTATATGAATTATAATTTATATGTGGTTTGTATTTAGCTTTACGTTAAGCTATGGTATCCATGAATTCAATGAATATTCAAATCATATTTAATTGTTATTAATTTTTATCTTTCATTTATTTCATAATTAATTTTATAATAATTAGAATTATATTTAGAATTAATTCATTAAGTCATTGATAAATCAATTTTGCATTCATTTAAAATAAAAACATTTAAAACAATAGAGAAGTAATTTAATTAATTGATGTCAACAAAAATATTACATTATATCATATACAGTATAATTACATTATACAGGCTGGCTCTCAGGCTTGTTAATTTTTAAAAATTCGATATCTCAAAAACTAACCATGATAATTTATTCAAATATTTATCAAAATACTCATAAAAGTATGGCATTTATTAATAAAATTTTTAAAAATTTATAATTGTTATCAGTAATATAATATAATTTATTTAAATTTTTTGCGGCAACATTTTGGCCATTTTTATTATAAGCCGTCAATGACCACTCGCTTTACTATTGATAATGTTTTTTTCAATTATATCATCATTTGTTTGCTTACTAAAATAATAAGTACAACAACTAAAATGCCATACTTTTATGAGTATTTAGATAAATATTTGAATAAATTATCATGGTTAGTTTTTGAGATATCGAATTTTTAAAAATTAAAAAGCCTGAGAGCCAGAGTGTAATATTTAATTTATTTATTAAGTAATGATGAGTACATTTCAATTGGATAATTGTTTTCAAATTTATATAAAATTTATTATTATTATTATAACATTATTTAATAAATAATTTGATATCAATTTATCAAATGAAATGTAATGTAATGTATGTATTGTGAGGTCACGTGATGTCACACAACACACAGTCTATTGTAATGTTTGCAAACAAAATGACATTTACTTTAAATCACAAGTTTTGTCACGTTTTATACATTAGTGTCGACAGTGAGTGACAAGTGATTGATTGATCACTGATTGACCACAAAATGCCGTTTCAAATGCCAAACCAACGACAAGAACTTCAGAGGAATAAGATTTTAGAAGATATTCAGAAAAAGCAACAAATGCTTAAACAACAATCAATTGGCGGCCAACCGGTCACTTCATCACAATCACCCACGGGATCAACACAACCACTACTGGACACGGCCTCCACTTCCGGCTCTACGTCTTCAATATCATCAGCACAACGATCAGCTCTGAATCACGCAAACAATAACTCGTTTGGATATTTCATAACTCAAGACTCGTCATTTGGTAATCTTATTCTTCCAGTTTTACCACGATTTTAGTCATGTCTTATGAAACGATTTATTTGACACTATTTTATTACTATTAATATATTTAAATAAAAGTTTGTAATAATTATAAACCAATTGTCATACTATTGGGACATTATTTTGAAAATTATCACAAATTATTAAATTATTATTGTTTATCAAATCATAAACAGTATATTTATGTTATGTTTAAATCAATTGTAATCAACTCTGAGATCTCTTTGTACTATAATTTCATTTACTGACAACAAATTTCACGCAAAATATAGACAATAAAATTTTTTATCGCATATTAAAAAACTGATCAATTTATTTAAGACATTGTTATCTATTATTATATCCAATAATAAGTAAAATTTTCTCAATTATGTCTAAAATGTTTATCTAATTTACAAATAAAATAATCTACAATTGATATATCAATTGATATTTCTTCTGGTTTTGTATTAACATTTTATATGACTATAAATTATATTAATTTCAAAAGTTAATAAACTGTTATAATATAGAGTCAATTGAAATTATTTATTGCAAAAAAATGAATACAATATACAAACGTGTACTCAATTTATCTAGTTTTGCATTTCATACGATAATTACAAATCAAATTTATGAACAGAAAATGTGTTTATTAATATCGATGACAAAATACAACAAATTATATGTATTTATATAAAAATAAAATTTTACAAAAAAATATGTGATTTTGTGTGAATAAACAGAATTTTCTTATATAAAACTTGATTAAAAAACAGATACTTTGATAAAATTATAATTTGATAATAAAATATTGAGGCCTTTGTTAGAGCATTGACTGTACAACTGTTGAGATGGGAGGGTATGTGAAGGGTGAGAGGTGTCCACAATTTAATTTCATATTACAATAGGTCTGACATATAGGGCCTCTCATCTCAAGACGATTCATATGAATAGCTTTGGCTCTCATTTCTTCCAGTGATTGAGGAAAGTCTGGAATTGGCTTTTTGCCGATAATGTCCGGTTCTCGGGGATAGTTGTCGTCTCCTATTATATCATATTATTTCAATTAAATACAAATACTTATAAGTTAAATATTAATATCAATAAAATTATCATTAAATTTAATATGAGACATGATATGACATTAAATTTGAACTAAATTATCATTGAGTTTATCTTTATAATTAAATAATTAATTAATTAAATTTATTATTAAATTTATAATTAAATATTATTAAAAATTAATTAATATATTATATTTTTCAGTTTAAATGTGTATGTGTTTTGGGAATTTAGCACAATTTTGTTGTTTAAATGTCAGATATTAATAAATATTCTGGGTTTTCTTATATTTGTCAACCATATATTGTACTATAGTTTATGATTTACATAAAATTATCAAATATAGCATTGAAGTGTAGTGTAATTATAAAAACTGGTCCAGTATTTTTTAAAATGTATTTTATACTAAAAATATTAATGAGTTGTGAAGATTAATAAGTAAATACAACAAAAAATAAATAAATAGGAAGTGTGTAAACATTAAAATAAGAAATAAATTATTTAAAAAAATTAGACTACAAACCGGGTAACACAGATATGGCTCCATCACTATAAGTGGAGATCACTGGTAGCCATCGTTCAATACCCAGGCGTTGTCTTTTATGAGCAAACTCTTGGACGGCTTTAAAATTTGGAAGATTGTATATCCGAGACAATTCATAGACTTGTGGCGGCGCCAGAAACACTTTTTCCTGCCGGTGCTCTTCCAACATCTCTATAGGTGTGCACCACTTTTACACAAATTTCAATACATTATTATAAGTATTCATACATTAAATTGAAGAATACCTTAAGACTTATCACTTCAGAGTTGTCGAGAACTACTTTGGGTTCGTTTTCCAGACAACAGATATAAAATATAGCATCAAATCTTCGGTGGCCAACACTAATTGGTGTCAACCAATTGCACCATTCATACAGAGACCACAAATCAGGACAAAGGCCTGTTTGAAGACACAGATCAAGAAAAGCGTCGGGATTTTTGGCAACTTTTTCTCTCCATTCGGTTAAATCTACATTTATATTATCCAAATCGGAAACAGGAACTAATGATCTGGACTTCTCTGATAATAAACTAATGGATGGCGTTTGGGTTAATAGAAGTACACCTTTGATAACAAACAACTATTAATTTAATTAATTGTAACCAAATTGCATACCTGTCTCTTCAAATGTTTCTCTTATGGCAGCAATTCTCAGAGCAATATCTGCGGGAAGAAAATCGACGCTTTCGGAAGTACCCCTCTTTGCGTTGTTAATTACTATCGGATTCGTTATCATTGGAGGTCGCGACCCAACAACACAGGTTGAGAATACTTCTAAGTCAGTTCGGGTCAAACCAAGCGTCTCAAAGACGTGCCACCATTTAGGCGAATAGTCGGCCACTTCAACCATACCTCCGGGAAATACATAAGCACTGGCCATGAATGAACTCATACCACTTCGCTTAACCATCATTATCCGGTAGTCACACGATGTTCGGACACCCGGTGCTACGGGAATTTTTGGTACATTCCGATTAACTTTGTCGGTCACCGAACCGCCACAGGTTATGATCAAAGAAGACGCCTCTTTCCACGGCCACTCCATTGATGACACTTTATATAATAATGACATTTAATATAATAATTATAAATTTATATTTAAGAATAAAAATTTATCGAAAATAAATCAATGAAAATAATACACAAATATTACTTCCGGATAATTAGTTTATATTTTTTTTAATGCTTTCGAGCTATAAAATAAAACTATCACTTAAATATTAACTATAATTAAGTTACAAAACAAATTAAATACTAAAACATTATTATATTGTGATTGATTTTTAACAAATAAAAGGAAATATAACACTAATCAACAAATAACTTAAATTAAATGATTAAATAAACTATTAGATGGTGGATGAAATCAATAAAAAGCATTTAAATAATTTATAATAAAATGACAATATTTTAATCACATTTTTTGTATTACTAACAGTATATAAATGAAAAGTAAATTTAAAGTGAATCAAAATTTTCCCAAAAACAAGTCCCTATCAAACAATTTTTGGCAGTTTTAGTAGTGATATGTGGGTCACAATCACTGAGATATTTGCCTTTTCCAGTAATAATTGGGAACAAATACTATCTCAAAATTTCTATATTTGCCACTCAATACTATCACAATGTGTGCTAAATCATACACTGCATCAATGTCTCAAACAGTAATGAACTTAAATTTTATTAAATAAAACTATATATATATCTAAAAACTTGACAGTAATATAGTATAATAATGACAATTTAATATACAATACAATACATTATACTACAAAATACTATACATAATGTCCTGTAAATTTTAAAAAATAACATTTGAATATATGATGAAAAACTTAAAAACCAATGAATGACAGAATATGAGTATATAATTGATAAATGATATGACCTTAATATATGGCTAATATTATTATTATATTAATTATTTTTCTTATAAAGATTATTACAAAATAAATAATTTTATTTTCATTAATAATAATATGATTTGTTGTTTGATAAAACTTACAATAGTGTTTTGATATTGCATTAAAATTGTTGTATGTTTTCCAACAATTTTTGGGAAATTGTTTGTTTGTAATAAATAAAAAGTTTTTCGTCAAAAGTCGAAAAATTCCCATTTTTTAGTCTAACTCTTTCACTATACAACTCTATGGATGAGTGATATTATTAAACATAAATGTTTTAAATATATTTTCATTTATATTATTATTATAAATATTTATATAATTAACTCATAATTTTAAGGATAACAAACAAATATTCAATGAAATGATTGAAATATTGGTAATAATAGCGATATTTATAAATTAAATCTTAAATGTTTGCTATGTTTATCTCACGTGATTGAAAATTGCATAACATATTCATCTATTGGTTACTTACCAGTAGTAATGTTGTCTATGTTTAAGCTGAGCACTAATTTTAAGTTTCAACACTGTTTTACACACAAATTATATTAAAATTTTGCTAAAAAATTATATAAATTTAAATAGTTTTATTAAAATTAATTAATTTTTTTAAAAATGATTGTGTAAATCACACCAATTAAAAAATTTGTTAACATAACTATATTTCTTAATATAGTATTGAATGGCTAAACATAACATATGAACTAAACTTTCAAAAAAAACATTTCATATGCGAAACGCAATGGAAAGCACTACTCATGTCATATATGTTTCAATGAACTGGTTTTAGGGATACAAAGATCCGACAAATAGGTTACAATAAGTTCTCATTTTTAGTTTAATTCACAATTTAGGTCAACAAATATTCTCACCTTTAGTTTACAAACTTTTATAAGATTTTTAAAATTAATGTTTATTTCGTAATGACGTGAAATGTCTCATATAATCAGTTGACTATTGTTTATAAAAACTGTTATATAAATACTTTTTGTTTTTTCGTTTATATTGTTATCTTAAAATAATGAATAGCCAGCAAATATTTTCTACAGAATAATTTACTAATAATATAATATAATATCATTTTTGTATTTTATAAAACTATTTAATAATTAATTGCTAAAAGTAACTAAACAATCATATAATATTTACATAAATATTAATAACATTGACATTTTAAAATTATTATTTAGTTAATTAAATAATATATTGCAATTATTTATTTTTATATTAATTTTAATAGATTTTAAATAATGATTACATCAATTTTTATACAATACTTTACACTTTTATGCAAAGTCTTTGTATTAAATCTTTAATTACTTTTTAAATATTTAATAAAATTTTAATGTGATTTTAGAGCTATAAATAATTAATATTATCAATATTAGATTGAATATTATAGAAGTCATTATTCAATTATACTAATTTTTATATTGTATACAAAAAAATATATTCACTAAAATTATATTAAATATAAAAAATTATTATTAATAATTAACAAATAAAATATTTATTTGAATCAATTTAATTGTTTTTATTCTGATTCTCTGATTTATGTTTCTCCATATATGTGTATATTTCTCCGTAATCGACAAACCCATCATTATTTAAGTCCATTAAATTAATTTCTGTGTCAACATATCCTTAATAAAGTTTAATTAAAAATATAATTAATTATTTTCATCAAAAATTAGACGTAAGTAATACCAGAAAGATCTTCGAGTGGAACCGTTTCATAGGTAGAGTTGTGATGTATTAATGAATGTCTAACGGCTAATAAAAGCTCTAAAAATATAATTTTATTTAAAAATTAATATAACTTTTATATAATTTTTCCGATTTACCCAATCCATCAAGTTTTGCATCGCTATTGAAGTCATGCAATTTGGTGTAATAAAAGGCCGATTCATCGTTACTTATTTTTTCCGATTGTTGTAAATATAATAAATTGGACGCTTCTTCACGCAAATGACTGAAACAATTTGATAAATAATAATTATATATCAGAGTTAAGCAATGTTTTTGGATTTTAGGTTATACGGGATCACATCACAAAAATCTCGAAAAATCTTGGGGTAGAGTAGGAGTGGGTTTCAATAACTATCTTTTCAGCAAATAATTGATTTTTAATTTTTTAGTTGAATATTTTAATTAATATGATATATTTACATAAATTTTAAAGTGATTTTAACTATTTTACTTATTTTTACTCAATAATTACATTCATATAAGTTATAAAAATATAATAACACTTAATAAAAAAAATATCAATTAAAATTATATTCGAGACTTCGGCGTCAAAATTTTAGGGGGGAGGGGGAGGGGGAGTCATTTCTCCTTTTTCTTAAGCAACAATTTTTCAATTTGGTCAAAAAAGTCTGGGGGTTAAAATCACAAAATCTCGATCTTAGGGCTTTTTGGCCTTACCCCCCCCCTTGCTTAACCCTGATATATAATATATATATATCATATAAAGTATCATGGTTAATTTACTTCATGTCGTGCATAAATCCCGCAGTTCCATATTTAGCCCACAGTTGGTCAGTACCGGATGTTTGACCAGTTTGTTGAGCTAACTGTTCGGATGTCTGTATGGGCTGATGAGGGACTGCTGGATGAATATGTGGTTCATGACTACCGCCGATAACATCTTTGAAATTTTGTGGTTCATGTGATTCAACATAATTTGTTAACAAATAAATTAATGTAAATAATATTAAATAGTTGATTGCAATTATATTCATTTTATATATATTTGATTTAATCAAATATAATTTAAATAATCAAAATCACATGTATTTATTTTTTTAAATAAATAATTTCTCATTACGTGTAATATATAAAATGTCTATTAATTATATTATTTCAAACAAGTGTTCGTTATTTTATAAAAATTTCATCAAATGTAATGTGAGATAAAACCATTACTAACAGTCATTAAAAGATACAGAATAATAGTAATAACTCATATCATAAATTAATTAAAATAATAAATATTAAGTTTATTATATTTAATATTAATATAATTTACTATACTTTATCTCGCTAAACTAAAATTAAATATTATTAAAATGATCATGATTACTTAAAAATAAGTGATGACAAAAGTAAATTTATTTTATGATTATACAAAAATTTATATAATTTTACATATAAATAGTACAAACAATTAAATACATATAATACCAGTATATTAGTACAGTTATGTAATAATATAGTTAAAGTTATATATCAAATTTATTTTTATGACAATTGAAATATTAACAATTTCCTAACTATACAATAAAGTGAATATTCACATAATATTCAATATAATAATAATTTTAAATATTAAATAGTTGTTAAACCAGTTGTAAAAGTGAAAGTCTTCTAAATATATATATATATATATATAGTATTTATTTTGATGTTTTATAAAAATAAGGCAATAATTAATTGTAATTCAAATTAAATTCAAATTACGGTATACTAAAGTAATATAAAACTAAAGTCTATTTTTTAAAAAAAAAGTTTAATACTTTCTAATTAATACTTTCTGATTACTATTAATATTATGTGAGACATCTATGAATGCCCTAAACAAGTGATAATTACAGTTAACACTCAATTAAGTTGATATATATTGAAATTACTTTAATTACAATCACATTGTTGTTAAAATATAGTAATTATTTAATAATATTAATTTGTTTGACAATAAGGTTTGTATTGATATAAGTTTGCATTAAATTCATTGGATTATCATTTGAAACAATAGTCATAACTATAGAGTGTTTCTTAACATTGAATAATATAAACAAATAATTCATTGAATTATCAGTTGTTTTGAGGAAAATATTTAATAAATAAATGAAACAATAATTTCATGAAATATTAATTGATTTGTTGTCTCATTGCATGCCATTCAATGTCCACCGCTTTGATGGCTCTCTCGCGACACTACTGTCTGTCCAAATCAGTGACACAATTGTTGAGACGAGTGGTCAACACAAAAGGCCAACACATGACATCCCGTCCGTCATCTGATTTGTCGGCCTTTCGCGACATATTCAGCAAAAGCCAACATATCGTTGCACTGACCGGTGCCGGCATTAGTGCCGAGAGTGGTGTTCCCACATTCAGAGGTTCGGGTGGTCTATGGCGAACATATAAAGCACAAGAGTTGGCCACTCCCGAGGCATTTGCATCTAACCCATCACTTGTTTGGGAATTTTACTCTTATAGACGGGAATTAGTTCAGACGAAAATACCAAACGAGGCGCACACGGCTTTGGCTGAAACAGAGAAAAGACTGGCCAATGAAGGCAAGAGACTTGTAGTCATCACTCAAAACATCGATGAATTACACCGAAGAGCGGGCAGTGATAATGTCATTGAATTACACGGAACTCTCTTCAAGACTCAGTGTACCAAATGTGGTGATGTGACCGTAAACCGCAACTCACCGATAGTACCGGCGCTTAAAGATAAAGGCAATCCCGATCCTAATGCTATGGACTCGAAGATTCCGATCAAGGAATTACCGCATTGCGGCAAATGTAATGGTTTGCTGAGACCATATGTCGTCTGGTTTGGGGAACCGCTCGACCCGAATGTGAGTTACATTCAATTAATTTGTTTGATATTATATTTTTTATTTTATTTGACTAACAATTTAGGTGTTAGAGGCGGCACAAACTGAACTCGACAAATGTGATCTCTGTCTTGTTGTAAGTGTCATCAAAGATCACCAATAAATTCAATTACAATACATTAATCTACATTTATCCGATAGATCGGTACCTCATCTATCGTATATCCGGCAGCAATGTTTGCACCACAAGTTGCCTCACGAGGAGTGAGTTGTTTTATAGTTATAATTATAATTCAATAAAATTATAAACAAAATTGAATAATATTTAGGTACCGGTGGCGGAGTTCAATATTGAAAGCACTCAAAGTACCAATCAATTTGGGTATTATTGTCAATACATATAATTATTATATTTTATATCTTAATTATTACTTTTCTTGTCTTAGATTCCACTTTCAGGGCGGCTGTGGAACAACTCTTCCACCGGCCATCAAAGCGTTGGCCAATAACTGAATCGATTATTATTAAAAATATAATCGTATATACCGTAAATTAAAACCAATCAATTATCCTAAAATTTTATCATTTTTATCAAATTTATACTCTATTTTTGTTATTTCAATTTTTAAAGTAAATCAGAGATATTATGAAAATTAAAGTTGATTTTTTTTTAAATTTAATGTATTATACACCAAATAAAATAACGGTAATCAAGTTGATAACAATAGTTTATAGTTACCGTAACTTATTATGATAATTCAGTTATTGTAAAATTAAAATTTGTCTATAAATTAAAGTTTTTTATTTGAATAATAAAAAATAAGTTTCAAAATCAGATGAAAACAGAATTATAAGACAAATATTACTTATTTTTCTCTTCGAGATATCTGTAATGCAAGTCTTTACAGTCTTCTTCGCTAATCATCTTCCATCCGTCCTCTTTGATTGATGCAACTGATGACAACATAATTTTATTAGTTATTAATATTACAATATAATAGATAAATAGCATACCTCTGACAATTCCTCCGGAGTAAGCGTCCCCATGTGTGGCGTGATAAATGGCTCGACGACCCAAATCATAGGCTTCTTCATCAGTCATATCCCACTTATAGCCTGAATCGAGTATACCGTAAGCATAAGTACTTCCAGAGCCCACACTAAACAAATCTCCGGGCATTCGGTGTCCTTCGCTGTCAACATAGAAAACCTGCGCCCCTTTCTTCTGATCCCAACCACAGATCATAACACCCAATGAGAGACCCATTCTGTCAATAATAACAACAAATTAATTGACAAAATTATAGTCAATTCAATCAAAACTAATTGATAACAAACCCCTTATAATTATAGAGAATATTAGCCAATAGTTTTGAAGCCGCGGCCACTGAAATGCGCTCTTTATTCCTCAACTCATATATACGGCATCTCTCGGATAACACGCGCTCCCAATACGTGCAATCGGCAGCTCCGCCGGCCATTGTTCCCAACAAATACTTATTGATTGGTATGATTTTGCGGACTTCTTGCGAACCGATAAACTGTCCGCCAGTGGCTCTACTGTCGGCGCACACAACAACTCCTTTATTATATCTAAAGGCAAGAGTTGTGGTTCCCTTTGCTAAATGAATGTTAATCTTTTTGGACGAATTGTTCGCGTCGTATAAGTTCTTCATATCAAACGAATCCATGGCTGGCATCGGAAGTGCAGTCGTATTAAATGAAGATAAATCCCTCATCGCATTCACATTCAGAGTGTTGTCCAATGATCCGAAAGTCGGGTTTATCGGTAAACCTAATAATGATTGTAATGCCATTGTATGGATAAAGTGATCAACTCTTGGGATTAAATGACAAACAAATGTTTTGAAACAATCAGTCAATGAATTTGCAGTTTTTCTGTTGACTTACTCTATGAAGTGATTCACAAATAACGCAAACATTTATTCATTGAAAGCATTGATTGATTGACTGTTTGTTTATTAATACATATGTTTTACCATTAAATACATTGAAATGAAAAGTGATTGAAATTACAATCACTTATTATATTTGATGACCACTGATGACCATCGATGTCATCCATCATTAGTATCCACCGAAACACATAAGATGTTATATTTAGTGGTCAATTGAAAGACAAATACAAAACAATGACTCAAATACTGTTAATGTTGTTATCAATTATCATGTCTTTCATTCTCGTCTTTCTCTTTGTTTTTATCGGTAATCACTGGATCTGATATAAAATATCATTGATTTTGAAACTAATTGTTAATTATATTTATTGAACGATAGGCTGGTATTTGGTTTGGAAAGTCTTCTTAAGCCGATTCCGGTTCGTCAGAGAACTGTTGATGATTAACAACAATCATCACAACGAAGATAAACCTAAAACTAGTGAAACAAATCAATTGAGACACAAGAAGACGAGATAACGTAATGATTTGTAAACACAATTAGTTTTCGGTTTTTTAATTTGAATTAATTTAATTTTATCATTGAATTATATATATATATTTTTAATTAACATATTTTGTTTTTTACTTATTATTTTTTAATTGAAATATATTGTGAATTAAATATCAAATTTAATTTAATTACAAATTAAACTCAAAAGACACGAATATTCTGGCAGTTGTGTGAGTCATACACTTGTAAAGCAATAATTGTAAATAACTAACGGTATAATAGATAATATTTACTCTAATATTAATATATTTAATTTACTGTATATTTTAGTAATTTTGTGAAACTAAAGTGCCTTTTGATTAGGTTTTTAAATTATAATTTAAATAAATTACTGATTTATACATGACTTTAACCGATCAATTATTAAACAAATGCTAAATTATTTTAGTTAACGCAAAAAAATGATTTATTTGATACATTATAACTTAAACATTATAACTGTAAAATATAAAGATAAAATACTTTAAAATACTTTATATTTGTAATTATAGTTTTTATAAATTATGCATATTTATAAATATAATAATATGACACAAAAATATTTTTATAGGTAAAAAATAATACTAATTACCATAAAAGTAGCATATTCAAATTATTATATAAAATAAATTTTATTTTTATTTAATTGATATTTTTAATATTAATAAAAATGTTATGTTGGAGTAAATAACAAAATAATACTCTTGTGTTTATCAAACATACACATGACATGACATTTAATGTAAATTAAAACTAATTTATAATACAATACTAAATATATTGTGCTTCTGTAGCTCTCATCACTTCTAAATATTATTTATAAAATTTGTGATATGATGTGGTGAGAGTCTTAAACAGCGGCGCCGACGACGACAGCGGCGATGCTTTTAATTTCAAATATCTGGTCAACAATACGTTGGACTTAAAAGTGACCATGGGCAATGTTGTAGATAATTTTAAACTGGATAATATTGTAATTGGTTATTTTTTAATTAATTATATGATTCGGCAGATAATATACAGTCGACTGTTAAAAAATTGTAAAAATGATAGTCGACTGCAATTATCTGCCCAATGATGCAATTAATTAAAAAAATAACCAATTACAATATTATCCAGTTTAAAATTATCTACAACATTGCCCTTGGTCACTTTTAAATCCAACCTATTGTTGACCAGATAATTGAAATTAAAAGCATCGCCGCTGTCGTCGTCGGCGCCGCTGTTTAAGACTCTCTCTATGATGTGACCACAAGTTTTTTTTACAATTAAACACAAATTTTTGTATAGTTTTAATTTAAGTACAATTTGTTGTTAAATATAGTTCTAATAAAAATAATAATAGTTTTCTAATCTAAAAAATATCTATTAATTATTATTTTTTAATCAAATATAGTTTATATATACATAGCATAGCACCTATAGTATAGTTTATTACACATCGATTACTATTGCAATATCAAATAATGTATTACTAGTTCCTATTATACTGTATATAATTTTTTAAATGGATTTACAGTAGTACTAATTTTAATAGTTTGATTATTATATATAATATTATATTATTTACGGATAGTAAAGTATAGATTAAATTTGAAAAAAGTTATGTATAGTGAAAATAGAAATTATATATTTTAGAATAATTATAATAATTGCTTTTTTATTACTTAAAGTAATTAAAAAATATATAGTATAATCAAAATTAAAACCATTTAAAAATTTATTATAAGTAATATAATAAATTATATAAAAAGATCTAACATTTAAGAAATTTATATTTTATATATCTATTGTGGTTATGTATACTTGATATTTATTAAAATGGGTTTAATTTAGTAAAAAATAATTTTATTAATCAAAATAGTAATAAGGCGTTGTTCACATATTACGTTCGCACTTGAGGGGAGGGGGGGTTAGCCAAAGCGAACTTTTGCGAACAAGGGGGAGGGTAGGGGTAGAGACTTTAAGAACGTTCGCATTTAATAATATCTTATTTCTTGTGATGGGGGGGGGGGGGTAGCGGTTAGGGATAAGCGAACGTAATTTTTTTTWAATGACTACATGCGAACAATTGCGAACATAGGGGAGGGAGGGGGTCTAGATTTCTTAAAAAGTGCGAACGTAATATGTGAACCACGCCTAATTAAAATTATATACAGTACATTGTCAATTTGCGGATAGTTAACATATAAGTGCTAAATTAAACAATAACAGATTAGTTAGAAAATATGCATACATTGAAAATAATATGTTTTACAAACAATGATTAAATACCTAGATGGGATTATATAGATAAATAATATAAAATATTAAAAATTAACTGAAAAATAAATATTTTTGACAATATTAATAATTATTATTAACATTATTTCAATGTTATTATCAGTAAAATTTGTTATAAATAATATCATATCACTATAAATTTAGTTTTAAATAAACAATATGTGCAATCAAATGATTGCCATTTTAAACAATTAAGCAGTCATTGAATATAAAATTAGTTTAAATAATAAAATTGAAATGTTTGGGAAAAAATTTAATAAAAAGTATTAAATAAAAACAGTAATAGTCATAAGTGAGATAATAATTGTTGTGTTAATTATAATCTTTGTTATAATTATTTAATGTACTTGTTAATTTTTTTATTATTTTTCATTTTATTATATATTTATCATTATTTTTTATTTTTTAATATTTTTTAAAACATGTACTTATAATTTTTTTCATAGTGTATATAATAAATGAATGTTATTATAAAATTGTTTCCGCAATTTGACATGTATGTTGTAATTAGGGTTAGATTGAAATTCCCAGGGAGGGAAGTTCCCAAATAAAATCCCTCCAATTTTCCCGGAAAATATGGAAAATATATTATATTCCCTCCATTGATCGTTAGAAAGGGAAAATATAATTTGTCATACATTAAAAAGTACCTAATCTCAATGACTATGTGTTTCAATTGGGACCATTATGTTAGCAATAACTCAATCAAAATGTGATTCAAATAATATTAAACATTTAGTAAAAACATTAAATACATTTTGTAGAAATTTACTATACAAACGTGTTTTTAATTAAACATTATGTAAAGTGAGTTAGGGTACGATAGGTAGTACCACAAGGAAATGTCTTCCCTGGGAATTCCCAGGGAACAGGGAATATAAGGAACTTATGGAAAATAAGACGAGGGAGGGAATCTGATCTAACCCTAGTTGTAATACAGTATTTTGTTAAATAGTCATAATGAAAGTATACCTTACATTAATTTGTATTCATTTTATCATAAAATATAATTTTATAGATATGAATAAATTAAAATTATATTAACCTTAATAAATGTACGGTACATATAATTTATATGATATAAACACAATTGTAAAATCTGATTAATTTATAAAATTAAAGGAATTAAGAAAAATATTCAGTCAATTTAATTTTGATACATAATGGCTACGGTAATAGAAAAATACAAAAATTAAAAAAAAGTTGAAATAACAAAAATTTAGTAAAAATATTTATATTAAATTCAATTGCATATGTGTTGCCAACCATTTATTGAAACATTTAATCAAACCGTCAATTAGTCTACATTTGCTATCATTTATGGCATTTTGGGAATCTCTTTATTATTAACAGTTGTCAAGGATTGTGACAATACTTGTCTATAATATTATAGTATAAACAGACACTAAACAGAAATACAATAAATATAATTATCAGACATTACTGACCATTTAATTCATGCTTTTATTCAATGAATCAAATTATTAACTTTTTTTTGAACATTATTGTGTAAATTAAAAATTGTAAAAATATTAAAACTGAAAATTTGGACAATTTATTTTAATTTCAATGTTAACAAAATTACAATGTGATTATCATACTTACCATTTAGTTTAATATTACACACGAAATTAGAAATAAGTTAGAAATATGTTAATTGTCTACTAAGACAAATGTTAATTTAAATATTTTTCATAATTATTGTCAAGATTATCATATGATTAAATAGTTTAAAATTATTTTTTAAGTTAATTTCATATTTTATTATCTTCATGTACTTTAAGTTTATTTGCTTATTTTCAAAGATAATATTATATGTGATTATTAAGTCAATTATAAAATACAAAGTTTATTATTTAATTTTCCATACTATAAAATTTATAACAGATTACAAGTATCGTGATATTACAAAATAACATATAATTTACTTTACCTATACTTTTACATTTATTAGTTTTGTTTGTAAAATATACTGTAATAAAATTATTAGATAATTAAATATAAAGTACTAATTAAAAATATAGTTGATATAATTTTTTAATATTATATTTTCTATAAGAAATGTTATTTTTATTACTTGAAACTTAATCTACTAAATATAATGTACTTATACTGTACTGTAATTATACTGTAGTACAATATTATAACATTATACTTTATAACCACCTGATAATATTATTAAATTAATTTTTATTAAACTTATGATAACCATTTATGATCTACTACTATGGTATAATATAGTATAAATTGTTAAAATTATTAATTTAATTATTGTTAAGTAAATTTAATTAAGTTTAGTTTAGATTAATTAATATTGCATGTGTGACCTTTATTAGATTAAGCTATGCTATATTAGATAACCTTCAATATTGGATAATAATGTAAATTGAAAACAAATAAACATTTAATTGTTTTTTAATTAAATTATCACATGATTTAAAAGCTGAGCCAAAATAATATTGTTGTTATTTACTACTAGACGTCGTGTATATAAATTGTGTTAATTTTATAATAGTTATCCCAAAAATAAATTAGTCATCAGTAGTGACAGTGAATATTGAAAACAAGGTTTTAATGGAAAATAATGTTTTTATGTTTTCTCATTGAAACATATGATAAAACTAATCTTTATTTGTTAAGTAACTGACGTTATTTGATAAGAGCCTAAATATCTTTATACAGTATTTATCACTTCAAGGTCTGTAAAAATCGTTTTTCTAAATAAAATCTCTTATTTTATTTCATTTTATTTGACTTATATATTATTGGATTTTAAGATTTAAAATCATTTTAAATTTTTATTGCAACACATTTGGTATTTATTATTATTATTGAACAATTCATAGCAAATACACTGTTGTATAACTAAAAAATGTATTTAATTCAAAGGTATGTATTGTTTTTTTAAAGAATATTCTATATATTAACATAACATTTATTTATATGATTTATTGAGTTTATAGTAAATTTTATGTTACTAATAGTCAAATGTTAAAAATGTATTTCCTATTTATAATTTATATTCATATTATGCCCAATTTTAGTAAATATCTATACTGTAGATTGTTTATTATACAAATATGTAAATGAAAATATATAATATATTGTTATACATAATAATATTACCGGTAATTGTAAATTAAAATATTTATCAAAAGATTATCGACATATTCTCATCACTCGACACCTGTTGTCTCTCAAATATGCAACTCATGTATCCGTTCATTGAGTGCATATGCCGTCCCTAAAGAAAATATTAGTCAATTGAGTTCAAAAGTGAAGAGTTATGTCGAAGAAAAGGCCAAAATATGTGAACCGTCGGACATTCATATATGTGATGGAAGTGATAAAGAAAACAATTATTTATTGGGTTTAATGCAAAAGCAGGGAATCGTTGAACCGTTACCTAAATATGAGAATTGGTATTAAAAAATGAGATGAAATTGATAGGCATTTTGTGTTTAACTTTTACCCTAACTTTAAACCACAACTTTGACCAATAGTTGGCTGACACAGACAGACCCGGCAGATGTGGCGCGGGTTGAATCACTTACTTTTATTTCAACACATAATAAAAGGGATACTATTCCCACACCAAAGGATGGCATTAAAGGAACTTTAGGTTTATTTCAATTATTTATTATTATTAAATCAAAATATTAATTTGAAACTATGAACAGGCAATTGGATGTCTCCGGAGGACTTGAATAATGCACTAAATGAAAGGTTACCGGGATGTATGAAAGGTCGGACAATGTATGTGATTCCCTTTAGTATGGGCCCAATAGGGTCACCCCTGTCCAAGATTGGTATCCAATTGACAGATTCGCCATATGTTGTGGCGAGTATGAGAATAATGACAAGAATGGGTGCAAATGTATTGGAAAGGCTTCAAAACGACGAATTCATTAAATGTCTGCATTCTGTGGGACAGCCCTTACCGATGAAGACTCAGCCGATAAATAACTGGCCGTGCAATCCATCGAAAACAATTGTAGCACATATTCCTGAAAATAATGAAATTTGTTCATTTGGTTCCGGTATTAATGATATTATAAATTAAAATATAAATATATTATATAATATTAAAATTGAATGTTAGGTTACGGCGGAAATTCACTTTTGGGCAAAAAGTGTTTTGCGCTCAGATTGGGTTCAATTCTGGCCAAAAGGGAAGGTTGGTTAGCGGAACATATGTTGATCCTCGGAATCACTAATCCTGAAGGAGTTAAGAAATATATTGTGGCTGCCTTTCCATCTGCTTGTGGTAAAACCAATCTGGCAATGATGACACCCACTCTTCCCGGCTATAAAGTTGAATGTGTTGGCGATGACATCGCTTGGATGAAGTTTGATGAGAACGGAATCTTAAGAGCTATTAATCCTGAAAACGGGTTCTTTGGTGTGGCTCCGGGAACCAGTGAAAAGACAAATCCAAATGCTATGAAAACAATTCAAAAGAATACACTTTTCACAAATGTCGCCAAAACAGCTGATGGTATTTAAGATGAAAAAATCTTAAAATTTATAATATATGTCATATTTTGTATCATATATTTTAAGGTGGATTTTATTGGGAAGGATTAGAACATCACATAAAAGGCAAAAATATAGGCATCACTTCGTGGTTAGGCGACAGCAACTGGACATTAGACTCAGACAAACCTTCATCGCATCCCAATTCCCGATTCTGCACTCCTGCCAAACAGTGTCCTATTATGGACCCGGCCTGGGAAGATCCCAAAGGTGTCCCTATTAGTGCCATTGTATTTGGTGGCAGACGTCCTAAAGGTGTGCCACTGGTATACGAATCATTTAATTGGAGACACGGAGTGTTAATTGGAGCGGCACTCAGATCAGAGGCCACAGCAGCGGCTGAACATAAGGGTAAAGTCATAATGCATGACCCGTTCGCTATGAGACCATTCTTCGGATACAATTTTGGTCATTATCTGCAACATTGGCTTAACTTTGAGAAAAAGTCAAACACAAAATTGCCAAAAATATTTCACGTAAATTGGTTTAGAAAAGGAGAGACCAGCGGACAATTCTTGTGGCCCGGATTTGGCGAAAATAGTCGGGTTCTCGACTGGATTTGTAAAAGAGTTGATGGACAAGATGTGGCACAGGTTTATATTACACATAAATTAGTTTAATTATAAATGAAAAATAATTTTTCTTTATAGGAAACTCCTATAGGTTTCACTCCAAAGAAAGGTACCATAAATACTGAAGGATTAAATGAAAACATCGATTTTGAAGAATTGTTTTCAGTGCCAAAAGACTTTTGGCTCGAAGAATGCGATCGAATTCGAAACTATTTTACAGAACAGGTCAACAATGATGTGCCGGACGAAGTCTGGAACCAATTGAAACAATTACAACAACGTCTTCAACAACACAAGTGATCTTTCATTTCATCTCTTTCTAGTCTTCTTTCATCTTCTCATTGAAAATAAACTTATATTTTATTTTAAAAAACAAATGTTTTAAATTTATATTTTATGTTAATATGATTTATAATTTATTAACTATAAGTGTTCACCAAAAATATTAATGTTTGTATTTTAGTCATACATTCGCTGCAAACTGAATGTTCTCACAATAAAAATGGGATGTATTTAAAACCAAGTTTAACGTCTATAAATTGCAACAATTAAAAAATGCCAATTTATGTTTAAATGACTAAATAAATAAAAAACTATTTAGTAAAACAGTTTACTAACAATATTAATGAATATTAAGAATAATAGATATAAAATATTTCTCAAATACTATTACATATCAAAAATATTATCATAAAACAGTTGAAGTACTTAATATATATATATTACTTTAACAAAAATTAACGAAGATATTTTAATAAAATTATAACAAACAAAATATACGCAAAATGATGATATGGAAATTTAATAAATAAAAATTAATAATACAACTAAATTTGTAAGTATTTAGTATACAACATTATAATATAATTATAATTTAATATATTTTATAATTAGAAAAAATTCATGAACTTAACTTTGTTTTAATTCATTACTAAAATTTAAGTTAATACAACAGTTATTTTATTAATGTTTTTGTGTTATAAATTAATTAGTTTGATTTCAATAAATTAGATTATTTGTTTAACATTATAACATTTTTTATAACAGTAAAATCATATTTAATTTTATATTTAAATTTGTATATTTATTTTAAAGTATATAATTATTTCAATAAAGATTATTTTATAATTTACAATTTATAGTAATAGTCTAAACGATAATATTAACTCTATTGACTAAAATACTATATTACTATAAATATCTGGTTAATTAACATTTAGTCAAATATCTAATTCATCAACATTTTTGTTGTAAAGTTTTAACTACACCTAACATTTTGAATGTTTCCAATAAATGGTCAATTATTAACAATTATTAAAGTGTATGTATTAAAGTTAATAGTTATTTAAAATTAAATAATACTTTATATTAAAAGATAAGAAATTAAAATTTTTAATTGAATTTTAATGACTATTTGTTTTGAAAATTATGACATTTATTTTATACAGTTATGTAAAAACATATAAATTTATTTTTTGATATCTCATAAATGTTAATTTATAATATTTGAATTAATTAATTTTATTAAAACAATTACCGGTATATATAAAATAAATAAAAAATAGAAAATTTTTGAATATATAAAAAGCGATTAATTTGAAAGTAGTTTTATTTCAATACTGTATTATAGTATAAATTGTGACGTTATATGTGTTTAAATCATAACTTAATGAATGAAAACAACAAAACGTTAATTCAATGTATTGTTCGTTAAGTTTATCGAAAATTTAACAAAAATTATATAAAAATTAATGAAATTATTGTTAATTTAAACGAAAACAATGAGTGAATTGAATAATAGATATAAAGATAGACATCAAAGACATCAAAGACATCAAAGACATGAAAGTCGTGAAAGACATCGATTTGATAGTAAAGACAGTTCACGACAAACGAGTGACAATCGGTTCAGACATCGACATCAAAGTAGACATCGAAATGAAGACAAACGTGACAGACATGACCACAGAAGCAGATCGAGAAAGAGTAGAGATAGAGATACACAAAGAAGTCATAGAAGTACTTCAAAGAATAGACACAAATCTAGTGATGATCACCGAAGAAGACGAAGACATTCATCTTCTTCTTTAGCTTCGAATGGCGTCAGTTCTGTCAGAAGTCTGAGCAAAGAACTTATGTCATTGTCTTCGAGTGAAAGTTCAGATGAAGAAAGCAGACAAAGAAGTGCTGTAATTGCAGCAAAGGTTGCCTCCAGTCAGATGGAAATACTCGAAGAAAGGGAAAGATTGAAGACTAAAGGCAAAGAAGAGAAAAAACGTCAAAAAGAGATAATAAAGGCTTTGGAAACTCCAGAAGAGAAACGATTGAGACGTTTGGCAAAGAAAGAAGCGAAAGAACGAAAACGGAAACAAATGAGTGGTTGGGATGAAGAGTATATGGGATATACAAATGCAGACAATCCTTTTGGTGACTCAAATCTTCACAAGACATTTGTCTGGACAAAGAAATATGAAAAGTTGGGACTTAAAAATGTTCGCGAAGAAGAAATTCATGAAATGAATAGCAAGAAAATGCAATTAAATCGCATTGAATTAGAAAAAGTTAAACAAAGAAGACTTGAAATGGAGAGAGAAAGAGAAATCAGAGACGAAGAGATGTCACGATTGCAGAGAGAAAGAGAAGCGGATCAGTTCAAAGAATGGGAGAAACAGGAAGATATATTTCACTTAAAACAGGCCAAACTTAGGTCTAAATTAAGAATACGTGATGGAAGAGATAAACCAATTGATTTGCTCGCCAGATATATCAGTACTTTTGGTGAAGACATTGGAACTGAAGAAGACGCGGATAAAATGGAGGACATGACGGCTGACTTAATTGAACCGTATATGTATCTCAACGGACTTCGTATCAATGATTTAGATGACTTAGTAGAAGATATTAAAGTATATATGACTTTAGACAGTGACAAGAATATAGATTTCTGGAAAGATTTACAGATTATAGTCGACGACGAGTTAAACAAACTTAAGAAATATAAATTAGAGAATAGTGTTGAAAGAAGAGAAGGCATTAATCCTGCCGTTAGTCAAGATGTGGTTCAAGTGTTTGCAGGCAAAACACCGATGCAATTACAAGTATTGCAAACACAAATTGAACTCAAAATACGATCTAATGAAGAAGGTATAGACATTGGTTATTGGGAATCGTTATTATCACGTCTTAAGGCACATATAGCCAGAGCTAGACTTAAAGAACTTCACGAACAGAACCTCAAGAAACAGATCAATCGACTGGAGAAACAAACGGACGAACCATTGTTTCCTATTATTAATAATGATATACAGTTAGACACTGAAGATCCCACAACAAGTTCTGCAGTTAATGATTTTACAGAAGATATTAGTGAACAATTTGATCCAAACATTAAGTGTGTTGAAGTTTATCAATTTGGACAATACTCTCCAAAAATGTTATCAATGAGTGATGTCGAGTCAAATGCATTAATAATTGAAGTGAAAGACGATATCAAGCATTTGGAACAACAAAGAAGAGAAGTGTTGAGGAATGAAATGATTGAAACTCAAAGAAAACCAGTTTTGAGTTCCGCTGAACAAGAATTTGAAAGAGAGGCTCGAAAAGGAATGACTGACGACGAGGCAGTCTTTAGTGTTGAGGAACAGATTAAACAAATAGAGAAACAATATTCTTGGTCTGATAAATACAGACCACGAAAACCACGATATTTTAATAGAGTACACACAGGGTTTGAGTGGAATAAATATAATCAAACCCATTACGATGTGGACAACCCGCCACCCAAAGTGGTTCAGGGATACAAATTCAATATATTTTATCCCGATTTGATTGACAAATCAAAGTCACCACAATTCAAGATCACTCCCTGTTCTGATAATAAAGAATTTGGATTCATTAGGTTCACCGCTGGTCCGCCATATGAAGACATTTGCTTTAAAATAGTCAACAGAGAGTGGAACTACTCGTATAAGAGTGGCTTCAGAAGTCAGTTCCACAACAATATACTACAACTTTGGTTTCATTTCAAGAGATATCGTTATCGCAGATAAACTAACACTTTGTCTGTTTGTTATCAAATCTAAACTTTCATCAAACAATCATTTCCTTAAAACTTATTATTTTAGATCATTTATAAGATATTTTTAAACTATTTTTTATTGTAATTTATATAGAAATTGTTGAATAAAAATAAACTCTTATCAAACAAATGGCTTTTCAGTTCATGTATTTAATACATAGATTGAGTGCTTAAAGGGTTTCAAACCAAATGTTTGGTCCAAAAATAACTGATTTGTTACCAAAAACTATACCATAATATAGTTTCAGACGTAATGTTGTTGCGAACCATTCAATACTGTATTGACTGTCAAATGCATTGATTTGAATATAAAAAACATTTAAACGATTGTTTGTAAACATCTGTTTGTTTTGTATTTAATTGTGTTTTCATTGTATTTGAAATGTATGTCATTTAGTGCTATAATAATAATAATAATAATAATAATAATAATAATAATTACATCAATTGATTGATTGATAAGCCATTGCATTACAATATCTTATATCTAACGGTAAGTGTCTCATCATATTTGACTCAAATGTGTGTCAAATGAAATGCAAAAATAGATTTTCAAAAACAAAAAATTATTTTTATTTTTAAAATTCAAATCAATTGAAGTATTGATTTAACTAATGTATAAAACTATAAAATTATACAAAACATGATAATTGTTATCAAAAAAGCTTATAATTACTTATAATAAGCAATTGATTTGTTTTATGAATTGCCCTAAAAATAGCCATTAATTACATTTAAATCACATTTCCTTCACATGTAATGACAGTCTCCTCACTATAATTAATGTATATATATATTGATGTCTTTGATTGTCTTAATCTAATCATTTGATTCAACCCGACGTCGAGTGTCAACAGATAACAGTCTTCTTTGAGAAATCTTTTAATTTTAATAATATTTGTTACTATTTTCATCAAATAACATATCAATTGATACTTTTGTACTTATATTTGAATCGTTAGGACATTACATGACTGTCTCAACTAATTAGACACTAATTTTGACACTTTTATTGATTTAAATAACATTTCTATTTGTTATAATTACTGTCAAATAATTATATATTTTTATTATATTACAAAAAATATATTGTCATTAGTAATGAATTATTATAACATTAAAATAGTTTAGTCATTCAATTAATGTGCACAATATAACTCCCAATGATTATATAGGATATAATATAAATAAAATAAAATATAACTTATATATATTTGATATTTCTTTAAAATTTAACATAATATCACAAATATAGCTTATTATCAAATATTAATAAAATGCAATAAAAATCATGATTTGATTTACAACTTACGATAGAAATAATACAGATTTATCATTGTATTGTTTGGATAGTATTGTTTAGTATTATTTACAAATAAGTTTAATAAATTATGACTATTAAAGAAACAAATATTTAACTAATTTTTCTACATATTAGTATAAATCAATATTATGCCAATTGTCTAAATTTTTCTAAATCTGTATAAATCTGTGTTTTATATGTTAATAATAAAGCAAATGGATAGCAATAGTCTTCATTACAGACTATTTCACACACAATATCTTAACGATTGTAATGCTTTCCCATTATATAAATCAGCAAAAAGTAAGTCTAATGAGATATAATTTAGGAAAAACTAGTTTTAATTGAATTAATAAATAAATTTAGACAATAAAGCATTTATACAAAGATTATGTCTACAAAAGAAACTACCCGTTCATAATGGTTGTGTAAGTTATTGAATGTTAATTAAAATACCTATTATATACTGTATATGATATTATCATATATTATTAAATTGATTTTTAATTGAAGGTAAACTCAATTTGTTGGAATAAAACCGGACATTATATCCTATCGGGTTCTGATGATCAGCACCTATGTGTCACACATGCCTACACTTATGAAGTAAACAATTATCATTATATATAAAAAAAAGTAAATTGAATTAAAATATAAATTTGGTTAAGATATTGGCATCGGTCAGGAGTGGTCACCGGAGCAATATATTTAGCGCTAAATTTCTACCAAATACTAATGATACACATGTTAGCCATTTTTATTGATTATTATTTTTAAAAATTTAATTACCGGTAAATTGAGTTTTTAGGTGGTTTCCTGTTCTGGTGATGGGATCGTTATATTTACAAACTTAGAGAGACCCGACACTAGTCTTGTAAATGTATTCAACTGTCATTTTGGAACAGCCTATGAGGTGACGACAGTACCTAACGATCCAAATACGTTCTTGAGTTGTGGTGAAGACGGAACCGTTCGCTGGTTTGATCTTAGAATCAAAACCAACTGTTCAAAAGCCAGTTGTAATGAAGATATTCTGTAATTAATTTAATTTATTAAAAAAGTAAAAATATTTATTATTATTAAAATTATTATAACTTACAAATAATAGAGTCAATTGTAACTATGCTGTCACTACTTTGGCTGTCAATCATTTAACGCCATACTATCTGTGTGTCGGGTGTGCAGACTCTACGGCCCGTATATATGATCGTAGAATGTTAGGCACACGTAATCTTGGTCAGTTTATTTATTTATTTTTCAAGTGATTTATTAATTATATTTTTATTTTAGGTAACTATTTAGATGATAATTTGCAATCAATGGTTTCGAGGATCACTGTCCCTCAATTTGACAATAAAAATCATAGGATAACATCCCTGTCTTACAGTCCCGATGGACAGGAATTATTAGTAAATTATTCGAGTGAATACATATATCTTTTTAATATAAATGTACGTATTTTATTTTTTTCAAAAAATAAATTTTAGATTTTAATATTTTGATAATTATAATACAATTGAATTGCCGGTAATTTAGGACAATCAACGCGGCGATAGAAAAGTTCGTCAATTAAGTTGTGATATTCGCAAACCCAATGTTAGTACTTCATCGTCAACTTCATCAACAAATCGACCGTTTATGAAACGCCTTAGAGTTAGAGGTGATTGGTCTGACACCGGACCTAATGCACGACCAGAAAGTGAAAGAGAGACTACCACTGATCACAGCCGACCGCAACCATTGCACTCAAGTCTTGCGCAGCGAATGTCTAATGTATTGATGCGGATATTTAATGCATCGGAAAGACATTCATCCGATAGTAACGATAATAATGACAATAATCAGACAAACGAAAATTCTCAACCATTACCTCCTAATAGTAGTGAATCGCAACTCAATAATGATTTCAATATTAATAACATTTCTTTACCCTCATATACTCCATCCTCTGCATCGACAACAGTAAACACATCCAATAGTGATTCACATTATGATCCTCTTGAGCCACAATTAGCTGATCAAAGATTTAACTATAGTAACGATAATACCCAAAATGAGGTGAATGTGGTTAACAATGATGTTATAAATTTGAATGAAGACACAAATCTTACCGCATCTGATGCCTCCACACATGTTATGAACACAAGTTATGAACGAATGGATATAATCGATGATCAAAATATTCATAATGATAGACATACTGTCAATAATCTATATAATGGAAACTCTTCGTCAAACTTTATACATGACTATTCTGATGATGACAGCGATGACAATAACGATAATGAAGACAATAGAGATGAATTGCTTCACTCATTTGATGAAGTGATTAACAACCTGAAGGATGAACGCGATTACGAGAAATTACAATTACCTAATGTGTTGATGCCATCAATTAAACAAAAATATGTCGGACATAGAAATGCTCGTACAATGGTTTGTCTTAAGACTAAATATCTTTAATATTTGTTTTGTTATTTATATAGTTTACTATTTATTAGATAAAAGAGGCGACCTTTTGGGGCGACGACTATGTTATGAGTGGTAGTGATTGCGGACATATCTTCATTTGGTCGCGATATACGGCAGAATTAATTATGATTCTCGAGGGAGACCATCATGTAGTCAATTGTCTTCAACCACATCCCTTTGATCCAAGTATGTCTTAATTAAAATACATTTAGTATTTCATTAATTATTAATATTGTTATAATGTATACACACTATGCTATATAATATTCATAAATATATAATATATATATAGTATTAGCTTCGAGTGGAATCGATTACGACATAAAACTGTGGGCGCCTTATAATGAACAACCTTTCTTTGATATGACAAAAGCTCAAGAGGTATGTGTTTGACCTTATAGTTGATATCGAAAAAAATCATAATATTTACCTTAAATACATCAATGAATAAAATATAATTATTATATAAAAAAAACTACCACAAAATAGGTGGCACTAATTTTTTTGTTAAGAATCTAGGATTTCTATAGATTAGAATTTAATAAAAATATTTTTATTTGCAATTTTTGGTTAAGTTAAATATAAATTTTTTAAAACTACTTTGAATATATATGAGTTTAAGGAGTTTGAGATAATTTTTGAGTTAAAGGCATTAACTTTTGAAAAATGAAAATTTTAATATTTTGTAAAATAAGTGTCGGGTATGTGACAACATAATTTATAATATTATGATATTTTATAATATTTATTGTTAGTATTATTAATATCCAATAGTGTAATATATTGTCATCGTTTACATTCAAAGTAGTTACTGTAGACCACTATATAGTTAAACAAAAATAATAGTTTTAAATAAAATATTTTTATTCTCTTTTTAAATAAAGAGAGATTATATGCCAACAACTAGACGCACCTATTTTGCCACCGATTTTATATTACTAATCATTAGTTTACATAATAAAAAACTTTAGATATAATACTATTACAAAAGTTATGCAATATATGTGAATGTTTTGTCAATACAGATAACCACTAGAAATGAGGTGATGTTGGAGGAGACAAAAGACACGATTACAGTTCCGGCCTCTTTCATGATCCGTATGCTTACATCATTGAATCATTTGAGATCTAATAGAGGTTTTAAAAAATGATTTCTTAATTTATATTATTTTATATATTAATAAAATTAATTAAATGCCATTAAGTTTCATCCCGATGGCGAAGAATCGGTGCAGTGGCCAGAGCTGCGTCTGAACACTCGGAGCCTAATTAGATTTTATTGTATATACAGTATATTTCATGTTATACCGTATATACTGTTAATATTTGAAAGTTTAGTAAATTAGTTTAAATTTAAAAATATATTTATGTTGTATATTAAATAAAATTCTTTATTTCAATATTAATAATAAATAAAATACATTAAATCTTTTTAAAAATAACAACTAAAATATTTACTAAATTTCTAACTAATTATAATAAAATATGTAAATATATCTATAATTGACTTTATCATATGTTTGATAAAAAAAATGAGTATTAATAAGTAAATTGTTATATCATTCATAAAATATACATTTTTTAAAAAAAAGATTCAATAATTTAAGTGTTTTTCGCTTTATTAAAGTGATGGGAATAATGAATGATTTCTAAAAATGCAATTAAAGGAACTGTATGTTAGCTGATTTAGTGTTAAGATTGTATATAAAATCAGAAGCCATAAAATTGAGACAATAGTTTTTGCGGTCATTGTTGTCCCAGAACTCTCTTCCGTCACCCGTTTGATATCTTATGGCAAAATAAAGTCGTGGATGGAAAAGATCGGGTGATGATTGTGTGAAATTGTTGGGCTTAGCGTATATGGCAAATGAAAATTTATCGGACTGACCGTCATGGGATCCCAACATGTAATTGGCCTCAACCTCGACATGTGTTTGCCAGTCGTTATACGTATATTTGACAAAAACTTTTTTAACGAACGTATGGTTGGCCACAGAGATTATACCATAAACTGTCGTTTCGGCCGTCGTTACCGAATGTAACACTACTGACTGTGACATCACTCTTGAGATGAAGTCGGGCCTCAGAGATGGGTTCGTATAGTTTGTCGGAACTAATGAGCATTTCTGGTGATTCTCATTATAAAATTGACTATAAATGTTGGGCGCAGCCATTGTACTGTGTCGGCGACGCACTTGTGGTGATATCACATAGTATTTAACTGACTCGAGTTGTCCACCAATCGAGTCAGCGAACCGTACATTCTTTTTCTCCGTCGGCGATGTTGGAGATGTGGGCGAAACCAACTCATCAGATATGACGGAATGGCTCTGTCGGAGGATTGATGTTCTTCTGATGCGATCATTGTTATTGAAACGCTTAACCAGATGTGGCTGTTGTTCAACCTTTTTATTGGATAGACTGGAGTTGGCCGCTGTGGCCGCCGCTAACCACGCAGTAGCTGACTCGTGCTCAGCTCCTGTAATGACAAATCAATTAATTTATATTATATTAATACAAAAATTAATTATATATGATATATATATATATAATAAAAGATTAGTACAGATATTTACTTTAGAAATTACTGATAATAAATTGAACCAAAATTTCAATTTTATTAAACACGAAAATTTAAAGTTTGACATAAAAATTTGAAAATTTAGTAAATAGTTTTTGAATGAAATTTGCTTTTTAAAAAAATTTGTTTGTATTCAAACACAAATCATTAAAAATTACCGCAAATGAGAAGCTGGTAATTGTAGGCCCGGTTATTGCATTTGCCGGTCAGGTAGTTGTCTGAGTTGATGTTGCGCTCAAAACTATGATTAAAATTGAAAACTTTTGGATATAAACTCATTACTGAATTTAATTGACGTTTTGTTTAGTGGTGTTATTGAGCGCTGTTGAGAGCCAACTGTCTGTTGTGGTATCAAAACGACACTTATATATAGACTTAAAGCGTTTATTAAGATATAATGATAAAGACTGACGAGTCGATCGCGAGTGTGAGCGGCGGGTAAAACCTGACCCCAATTCAGACACGACTCCACTGAGTGACAACTATTTATCTCTCAGCAAATAACATGAAAAATAATATTATATGATAACAATATTAGAAAAATTTTTCAAATTATATATATATTTATGTCTAACGCCTAATCCCTAAAAATAATTATCAAAAATTATACTTTATTTTACTTTACTCTTAAATATAGGGTTTTTGTTGTCGTGAGTCGTGACTAACGGATTCAATATTATAATTAATAATTTTATTATTTGCATTTAGTCTAATATATCTATAATGTGACTGATATGTGATTATAATATCTATTTATAATAGCCTTAATATTATATTAAACTCATATAAAGTAAAACTTTTAATTTGTGTAAATAAATAAACTGCTAATACTAACTTTCACAAATAAGTTTAATTAATAGTAATGCTATAAATTAGCCTTTAATAGCCATTATTGTATAATATTGTAAATTATGTAACAGAATAATACTTTATGACTAACATTATTTGAATATTTGTGATAATAATTTGAAATAAATTGGAATATTTTAATAGTTAGTTATATATAAAAAATACACATATATATAGTTTTTTTAAATAACAATATTTATTATATTTTAATTGTATTTGATTAATTATTACTAATATTTAGAATTAAATACAATACGTTTGATAAATAAATTTGTAAAAAATGTTAAATCAATACTAAAACACTATAAATTCCAATAAAAATTTTAAATCTTCATTGGATAACATTATGTTGTGTTAATTAACATTTAATTAATAAAATAAAATTGTTTCTATTTTCTTGTCATTTTATGGCACACAAATTCACAAATAACTGCCAGATAATCAAAATTTTTATTATTATAAGTATATTTATAGAGATTATCAGACATTTATAAATAAATCGCGGTTTGATAAATGCTCAACAATAAGATAAATGTATTAATAGCTTTGAATATAATAAATTTTTAATAATTAAATTTAATGTAAATTTATATAGGTATATTTTAATTTAATTGTATTTATATATTGGCAAAATTAATGCAATTATATTGCTTCAAAAAAAGAAGAATTTTCTTTATGATAAAATATAATCTAAACTATTTATATCTACAATAGCTATAGTGTTTGCGTACAGAATATTCTTGAAATACAATCACAAAATTATTTATTTATTATGTAAATATATTTATTAAATAAAATAAAATTAATAAAACCACAACTGATTTAGTTTTTAAAACAAATTATACACAATTAGAGAGCAAAAAATATAAATGATTTTTTAAAAATTAGTAATCACGTAATTAATACGTAATTAGTATTTCATTATAAAATTAAATATTTTAAACTTGCAATTACTTAATATCTTATAATAGGTATTATTAATTAATAATAAAAGTACAGTACAAGTATTTTTTCATTGATTGGAAAACATTACTTTGTACTCATTTCACAGTTATATACCCTCACAAATGTCAAAATTATTTTAATTATCATTAACTTAGTATTACAGTAAATATAGTATGAAAATATACATTCACAGTAAAACATAGCAAATCATTTGCTTTATTATTAGTATTAAAATCACTTTATTTGTTCCTATCGTTATAGTAGTCACACGTCTAAAGAAAATACTCAAAATATTAGTGATTTACTAATATATATTCAACTCAATATATAAATTAATTTCAAAAATTAAATCCCGTAAATAAATTAAATGCATAAAATAAGTTATTATCTCATATTTTTTTCAAAAAAAATGATTTTATATAAATTAATAAAAATATAATATTTAAGTATTAAAAATATGTGACAATTTATTATTTAAAAACATGTCACTTTGAGATTAAAACTTTTATAAAATGAGATTTGACTGAAAAAGCTATAATATATCATAAATTTATTTACAGGGATTTAATTTTTAAAAAAATAATCGTAAAGTTAAAATCTAACTTAAATGTGACTAAAAAATAATTATTATTGCAAAAACCGCTTTTTAGGGCCGATATATAAGTGAATAATTAAGACCCATATTATTATCCCAGTATTCATCAGTGTTGGCGTTATATTTAAGGGCAAACAATAATCTTTGTCCGGGCGATAGATAATAACCACCAGCGCTGACACTGAAAGTTACCGAAAATTTATCGCTAAAGCCATCGCATGAATTGGATATATAAGAGGCCAGAGCTTCGTTATGAGTGAGCCATTCATTTGTTGTATACCTTAATGTGACGGACTTCTCAAATGAGATGTTCAATACTCGTATAATACAAGTAATGCTAAGATTGCCGGCATTGTTAGATACCATACAGTTCTCGAGACAGACCTTATTGTTGCGAATTCTGTCTAAGAAGTTGAGGAGAGAAGACGGTTGTATGAACTCTAATATGAGGTTTGGCCGACTAACTGATGTCGCATTTGTATTGCTTGACTTCTGCATATACCAGGGAACAGCTTTCGTATCATTCACACCATTTGATGGGTTTAATCGAAAATCATTAGTCTTGAGAAGACCAAAGGCTGACTTCGGAACATTTGGCAGATCGTCTGATATGATATGTCTTACAGACTCCAGATTGAGACCCAAAGCGTCGGCAAATCTGACAATTTTCTTCTTGTGTGGAGTACTCGGAGGAGTCTTTCCGGTCTTAAGAGATGTACTCCTTATAAGTGGAGCCCGAATGACATCACAGAATTCTTCGTCTTCGTCAAAACTGCCATTGATGTGAATCATTGGTGATTCATACCGATTAAAATCAGTGAAACTTAATTTTGAAAATTTTTGATCCAATAGGGCTTGATTTATAACTGACTGACCCATTGAGTAATTGTCAGGTGATGCGACCGGTGATGACGACAATGTCGAGACCTCGCTGTAAATCTCACAATCATTGCTACCGTCGACCACATCTTTGGCTAAATTTATGTTTAACTGAAGTGATTTGCGATCTAACTTCGGATAATCATCACTATTGACTGGACTATTACTATTACCATTAGTAGTACTACCGTTGATGTCTTTTTCTTTACCATTAATGCCATTTACTTCAATCTTCTCGCGTATTAATTTCAAATTATTGATGATTTCTTGACTATCGTTTGAATGATTGCTATGATTGTCATTTACATTGTCAATGCTTTTATGTTTAATCTCATTGATATTATCGCCATTAATATCGTTATTGCTTTTATTAGTAGGAAATACAAGAGCACTGACCGCACATATACTTGACATCTCTATAAAAGTACTTCCAATCGGTTTATATCGGATTTTCAAATAATATTTAAATTTTTTTTTATTTAATATAACTTTTCAGTCAATTAGATGACAAACGTTGTAAAGACATGACAACAATTTCATCTTTGAATAATTTATTACTTTTGCATATATCAATTAAAATCTCTAATTATATAATTGTTTATAAATTTAACAAAATTATAGCAATAAATATTTTAATGTATAACAAAAGGGAATAACATTTATGAATCTATGAATAAATAAATGATTTATGAGTTGTACTTTATATTATTATTATTAATAATATTAATCAATATATAAACACAATTTGAAGATAAATTTTAATAAAACTTCAGTCATATAAAAATTAGATTTAATTATTAACTGTTTGGACACAATATGACCCAAAAAAAATATGTGACATTTAAAAACAATTTATGCGTTTCTATTAATATATCTATTTTATAACTAAAATACTATAATATATATATATATTTATTTTATATACACTATATTATTAAAAGTCAAGTCCTGACCCCAACTTCTCACTTGTTTTTTAAATAGTGGTTAACATTGACTGAAAATGTATGGCAATAACAGCACAGTCAGCACTGGTATGTGTCGTGTCTCACATTGAAAAACCATTCGGAATATATGTAGAACCGGAATGCTGTGCGCACTCACACTACATATGACTGTATGTCTATCCCTATGCTGTACTACCAGTGCTAGTGATAGCATGTATGGCAAGAATCTGATTACGAAATACTATTAATCAGTCGTACGAAGTATTGCTATATATATCTCACAACTGAGACCACACTCTATGATAACATAGACTCTATCCATAGTTTACTATAGCATCACTTTTTTGGCTCTCATTCAACATTTTATATATAATTTTTGCAGTCTCTAAGCATAACTTCACTTCAATAATATTGCTTGAAATTGTTAGCATTATATTTCATGAATTTAATTTTGAAAAATCAAGTTATTTATAAAATTGAAATCAATTGAAAAGTTTTTTAAGTACAACATTGCATTAGACAAACATAGAGCACAATGTAATAGAAAATAACATACAATTACTGCAATGTATGTAAAGTATTAATAGACCGACAAATATATAACTGTATTATTGTCGGCAAAAAAATGTTTAAATGATTGCATTGAATGCATTGTTTTGCGCACAATCTGTCTGTCATTTCAAGCATTGATGCAAAACATGTGTTTCATATGTGTTATGATTTTGTTGTTATCATTGATAGCATCTAACCGGTGATAATGTGATGATATTATGACTGTTTTGACCACTTTAGCCATTAATGATCACATAGTCTTCATTAATCTTAATTGATTGACTCATACAATGTGTGATTTATACGAAGACAAACAAATCGGTGATATCTCTTACCATTGTTTTACCAAATTAGGTATCCATTGATAATATCAATTGATTGGTACTTAAATTGCTGTAACAAAAGGATATCTAAAAAGATATTGATTTTTAGGAAAATCAGGAAAACCAAAGCCGAAGAGTGAATATACAGTATTGGCGACCATTGTTTGCAATGTTAAGAACCATACAAATGATTCAATTGATACCAAAGTTGTGGCCCTCACGACTGGCACCAAATGTTTTGCATCAAATGAGTCATCCAGTGATGACCTGATTGTCGACAATCACGCCGAGTCACTACTGAAAAGGGCATTCAAACGGTATTTGATTTGCCGGTTACAAAGTGGTCACAATTTAGACGATATTCAAACTATAACTTTGTTTGTGAGTCAACTTCCCTGTGGTTCACTTCAGCGATGGAAAGGAGATCCTGATTTGGAGGCGAACTCATCCAAAAGTAACAGACATTTGTCAGATGTTTGCCGAAAGCCTGGCAGAGGTGTGACCTGTTATAGAGCGACGTGTCTCAAGAAAATTGCAAAATGGATTCGCTTAGGACTTCAGGGGAAGGCATTGATTGCTTTGACTGGACGTCCTTTCTATATAAACAATATAGTGATTGGCAATTGTGGTCAATCCGGTGAATATGATCAACAAATGTTGACAAACATGTTATCAATGACCGATATTTGTACCGTTTATAATGGCTTTCAAATGAATTATTTACCGAAAATAAAGTTTTGTCACGATTTTAGATACGAGTGTTTCATCAAATCAGATGCAAAATACGCGACGTCTACATCACTAGTCATGTGGTTAACAGGTATTTAACTAATTATATATTCATAGTATAAATTAATTAATGTATTGTACTATTGATAAATACAGTATAATTACAGTAGATTTATAATTATATAATTTCACTATTTTATTAAAAATAAATTGACTACAAATGTCATTGAATTTTAATGAATCAGTAATTAAATTCATATATTTATTTTTAATATCTCGATAACTAGTTTCACAACACAATATACTGTAATACTATCATCTAATCTTGTAATAAATATTAAATTATTTTTGTTTTTATTTTTTCTAATTATATCTGCCTATTGTGCAATCAAATGATAAATTTTATTAAGACTTTATAATAACTTATAATAGAATATTTTATATAAAATTCAAATTTATCATTGAATTGAATCAATGATAAATTTTAATTTATAAACATTAGTATTTATTTTACAATTTTAATTATTTTATTTTTATTGATTATTGTGTGATAAATAAAGTATAATCGATAACTATAATGTTGTAAATATTAATTTTTGATAAGTGACACTATTATTATTATTACGTATTATTACTTTAGTAAAAGTTATTTACTAATACAATAGATTAAATTTTAAACTAAAAATAAATTGTTAATAGAAATTATAGATTTAAATAAGTTTGTGAAATTGAATAAAGTTTAAACACAATTTATTTTAAAATTTTGCTTTAATCTACTTTTAATAATTTATTATTATTATTAGTCAATGATAGTCATAATAATGAAATCAAATTTTATTTTATAGGTTTCAATCAAATGTCTGCGACCATTAAATTAGTGTATTTTAATGCAGTTAGACGTTTGCACATTTAATATAGTAGTATTGAATACTACAATATTAATAATATTATATTAAATAGCTATAGACCTCGAATTTTATAAATTAAATTTATTTATTGTTTATATATATATATCGATAGTAAATATATATTGACACATAGCAAAAATTCAAGTACATTAATTTTTAAAAATTATGTTTAGATAAATATTAGCATATTATACTAAATCTACCTCTAAATGTTATCTCTTTATTACACATATAGAGTAATTAATGTAATTTATAGTGATTATATTTTTATCATGTAATTTTTTTATTTAGTTTAATTGGAAATAAATCTGAAATTAAAATAATTTTTTATTCACCAAAGTTATCTCATTAAATATTTAATAATGTTATCTAAAGATTGTAGATTTAAAAAATTATTTATGATTAATATTGTCCAGACAAATTTAGTTGTCTTATATATTGTCTATTAGTATAATAATTTATAGGTTTAATTATATTATTTTATAGTAGTTTATACATTATGCTAATTCACATGAAATGTCGTTTTTGATACTATCTAAAAATATATTAAAGTAGTCAAATAATAGGATTGGTGTTAGTAAAATTTTGTATTTTTTAAAGTTTTAAATTAAATAAAAGCATTTATAAAATTTGCATTATAAAACTTTTAAAGTTTGTCATAAAAATATTTCTAATACTATAAAGTATTGCTAACAAAGAGACTTAAAAGAAACTGTATTTCAGGATTTAAATGGCATTTGAGAAACATTTTATTGAACTTAGGGTCAAATCAGTTGACATGAAAGGAATTTTCATTAAATTCACTTTATTTTACTTCAATTTTTATAACGACTTAATACTTATAGAGACAGCAAATAAAAATATGAATAAAACTTGTTTGACAAAGTGGTGTCATCTTACAAGTTATAACTAGAATATATTGTAAATTAATTGTTTGATTACCCCATCCATCCTATTTGGATCCCATTCCCCACACAATCACACTTTCTTTCGCAGCAATGGTTAACAGTTGACAAAACAGGTTATATTGAATAACAAATCTAAAATAAACTTAAATATCATGTGTTAAATGCATGCATTTCAATGTTTCTACTCTCACAATACTTAATGGTTATTATAGTTTGTTTTAATTCTAGTATTTACCACAACTAACCGGCATTTAATGAACATTATTGATAATTAATGTAAACTTAAAAATAATTACAATATTTATACTGTAGTAATAACAATTTTAGTTAAATGAAAATTTAATTATAAATTTCAAATATATAATATTAGCTAATCCAACATCAATGCAATGCATTTTTATTTGATGATACCTTAACATTAAACTATTCATATTTACATTTTATTTATATATATATTTATAGTTATTTATATCTTGTACTACTGTATATAATAACTAGTATTGACTTACGCAATGCATATACAGAACTAATTTTATTTAAGTATATTTATAGTGACTAGACTTGAAATATTATTTAAGTATTATATCATCTGAAGGCTTATTTAGTACACAATACGATAACATAAACATTACGATCAATGAATACAATGATATCAATAAATACAAAACAGAATTACATTAAATGTTATTTAGAATTCTGTGTTAAATTCTTATATAAGAATTATTTATAAATAACTATTAATTAAAAATTTTATTATTATTATACACTTTTATTTTTTCATATAAATAATCTTAATTTTAAGTTTGTTTAATAATTTGCACACTTAAATGACATATAATCTTAAAAGTAATGTATATGTATCTCAATATATTGTATATGTTTTGAATTAAGAAGTTTTTATCTCCCATATAATGGATAGTTTTGTTTTGATGATTACTATGAAAAAGGTATTGCAAAATGTTAAGAGCATTAATAAATTTAGTTTATATTATTCTAAATATTTACTTTTAAATCAAAAATTTTATTTTTATCTATAGTTCACTCAAAAGAGGAAATTAAATCTTAGTAAAAATTATAAATTTATACAAAAATTAATGTTTTTAATAATAGAGAGAACCTTCAATTGAAAAAAATTATCGTCTCTTTTGAAATATTATAAAAAAATAATGATTACATTTTCAATGTTTATACAATTTTTACAACATTTAGATATATATATATATATTTCATGAGTATTAAGACAATTGTCTGCAATCTCTGACCATAAGCTCATTGAGTGTATTTCACGTGAAGAGTACGTGATATTTATTATCGTCTCGTTGTCCCCTATTTATCAATCTATTAAATCTATCAAAACATTATATTATTATTTTTAGATTTATCATATTATTAAATACATTTAAAAGTTTTCATATAATTTTAATATCTCAAATTACAAATGTAGGTTTATTTACTTGTTTTTGATGATAATTTTTATAAATTATAAAAGTCAATTTTAAAATACAAAGGTTATTTAAAATAGTATATTACGTTAATTATTACAAAATATATCATTTAGACTACAGTTACTCGTGTTATTAACTTTGTTGATATTGTTGACAAATCATATGCTGTTTGTATTTTTAAGTTATTATTATTAAATTTTAACTTCAGATATGTATGAATCATATGATGAGATTTAATTAATTGATAGACAAAAATTTTAGTAAATAAATATTGTTTTTATAAAATATTGTTCAATAAAATTCTTAGTTTTGATTTGTTTTACTTTAAATATTAAAATTTGAGAAAATATTTGTTGATAATGGCTTCAAGTAGTTTCCCAAAATATTTGTCAATTTAATTTGATTATTCAAGTGCTCGATATTTGTGAGCATAATTTTACTGTATTTAATATAATGTTAAAGTAATGATATAAATATATATTATATACAGTATATATTTTGTATATAATTTAAGTATATATATATATATATGACTACAATTGTAAAGAGTTTGTAATATATGAGAAATGAGGAATCAATGATCAGTGATGACAAGGTCTGATGGAAATGTGTTTTCATGTTTCTCATTGACACATATGATAAGCCAATCAGACACTTAACCCTAAATATCTTGTAGTTGTCATCTCAAGGTCTGTAATGGTTTGTAAATCAAACCTCTCATAAAATTTAATTTTGTTTGTCTTATTAGTCTTTTTTATTTAATATCATTTCATTTTTATTATTATGTTATTCAATTTCTTATACATTTGTTATTCATATATTCAAATAAACAGTTTTGTTATTTTTGAAACTTTTTTATTACATCTATTGATAATTTTAAAAAAAATGTTTGTCTGTCTCATTTGACTACAAAATAATTAAAAAACTTACAATTATATGAACATTTATTATAAGATTATAATGGATGTGCAAACAAATAAAATATGAATGGGGGTTATTATGAGAGGTTTGCAATATAGATAAAGTGGGTGTAGATATTTATTAGGCATTTATGTGAGATTTAAATTTTAAAAATTTTAGTCGGCTTTTAATATATAGCTCTCTTGACGACTAAGTTTTTGTTATAAAACTATTTGATATTATAATATCTGAATATTTAAGAATTATAAAGTTTTAAATAAATTATGACAAAATCAATTTAAATATACAGTATTAGGTGTGTTATGTAATTTTTACTTTAAAATCTATGAATAAAACAATTATATTTAACACAAGTATAACACTAAGCATTATCAGAAAATAAATTTTGTTTATAAAAAATGATAAAAACATACGATATTTTAATTTATAATCAATTTCGATGCGAATGACCCTTAATTTGAATCATTGCGGTGTTATGTTTAAAATTAATTATTTAATTTAAAAATGTATTTATCATAAAAATAAATTAATTTAAAAGCACTCATGAAAGAGAATTACTCAAAATTATCAAAGATATCATTTATCATAAGAAAACATATTTGAAAAATCTATTTTTAAAAGATTGTAAAATATTTAAAAATGATATATTTAACTAGTTTTCTGATTAAATAACAATTTAGTATTTAAATTATAAAGTTAAACTATTTATTTAACTATTATTAGCATATTATAACAAATATTGTACTGTATTATTGTTATTTAAAACGTTTGTTTTGCAGTTTCCTAATTCTTATAAAAAAAATAAAAGATCACTAATTTGGATGACATTCAACTGTTTATTTAAATCTTTCAAGATTTCAATTTTATATTTGGTCTAAAATAAAACAATTTAAACTTTTTTTTAATTATATTAAATATTAGTTTTATATAATTAATAAACTTTGACATTTAAATCATTAGTTTTGTTATCTATAAAATCTAAATTATAAACGAGACAATAATTTTAATGTTTAGTTACAATATAGTAACCAATGCTATTGGTATACTATTAATACACTTTAATGTACTTTAAAACTTTATTTCATTAGTCATTTTTTTAATAGTTTCTGGTGTTTGAAATTATAATTAATTATATTAAATGTTAACTTTTCTATATATTACATAAATTTAAAGCATATCTTTATAAAGATTTTACTTTTGATTATATAATTACCTTTTTATATACTTGTATAACTTATAAACTAATTAGCATAGTTTTAAAATATTAATCATTAATTTAAATCATAATTTGTAAAAATTATATTAAACAGAACTTTTATGATATCTAAATTAAAATCAATATTACCATATAAGTTAACCAATTGCAAATGTAGATCAATTAATATATGACAAAATTGTAATTTTGAAATATTATTATAATTTAAATTTAATAAAAAACAAATATGTATAAATTAGGTGATGGACACAAAGTTACCGAAGTTTTAACGGAAGGCCACAAATTGGGAGTTATTGTTAAGAATAGGTCAAGAAATAAGCCATTAATATGTGATTCTTGTATTCATCGAGACATTGGACTCTTAAGTTGTGAACTAAATGACAAATTGACTGAAGAGTATAATAATCAATGGATTGAACTTAAAAAATGTAAGCTTTTTGGTGACTGGCCTTCTGTTCAATCATTAAATACCAGTTCAAGTAATGACATACACGTGATTTACACATAGACTACAAAACAAACCTGAATTTTAAAGCATAATCAATATACAAATTATTTTATTTAAAAAAAAATAAAACATTTATAATAATTTTTAAAAAAGATACACTGTATCTTTGTTTGAAAATTGCTATTAAATTTAATAAAAAATAAAACTTAGGTAATGGTATAACTGGTGTCCTCTTTCAACTACAATATAATTTAAGTATTCCTTTAGTAAACTAAATACCGGTAATTAAATAAAATTCTTAAAATTACGGAAACATATATATATATATATATATATTACTATTTAATTGAAATATGATTTTTGAAAATATCACAAATAAAACATTTGTTGGACATATTCAACAATAGTGGACACTTCAGCCATAGCACCCATACCGATGTCACCGCAGGCCAGTCTCTTAGAGATGGGTCCGACCTGTTTGTAACCAAAAGACAGCAATGTTTTCAATGATGAATCAGTGGTGGGATGTGTCCACATATGGACATTCATTGCGGGACAAAATATTAAAGGTTTGTTCAAATCCCAGGCCCTAACTATTGAAGTCAAAAGATTATCACAAATACCGACTGATATTTTGGCCAAAGTGTTGGCATCGATGGGAGCTATGAGTCCAATAGTGGCCCACTTTCGCAGTTCAATGTGAAGCACTTCATCACCCATTTGTGTCCATTGTGTCCACTCATCACTATCTTTATACACTTTATAGTGACCACTAATTTCAGTAAAATTATAGAAATGAATGGCGTGTTCAGTGGTCACCAATCGGACCTCTATTTGCCGATCTTTATACAAATCTGATAACCGATTCAATTGATCCAATAGAATGGGTGTCTTAATGGCAGCAACTGATCCACAGACCATCACAAGAATGTTAATTTGATCCGACATTTAGTGTCAATTTAAATGTCATTATCTGTAAATCAATTGATAATTAATTTATTAATCAAATCAAATGCTATATAATGTATGACTTAATGGTTTGAAATTAATATCAAAACAATTGATGCAAACTATGGTCTCATTTATGACTAATTGATATTAAAATACAATTTAATAGTGAATTCAAATGCAATGAAAATAACATAAAAATGTAATTATTTTCTAATATTATTGACGACAAAGTCATTCATATAATACGTAAGACTTATTTGATTCATAAATAACGAAATAACTGATTATTTCTTCCTTTTCCTGAATCCTATCAATCCTTAGACACAAAACGTGTGACTCTTGAGTACATTTGTGGTGAATCTTTGATCTAAATTATTATTAATTAATTGATTGATTGATTGGTCGGGCACTATATAAGCTCATCCACACCACAAAATGCCACCAAAGTTTGATCCGTCAGAAATTAAAATCGGTATTAATATTTGACCGCAAATTAGTGGACAACTAATATAATGCAAACCTTTAATCGCAGTCTACTTGAGAGCCGTCGGCGGCGAAGTGGGCGCCACTTCATCATTGGCTCCAAAGATCGGTCCCTTAGGTTTGTCACCCAAAAAGGTCGGCGATGACATCGCTAAGGCCACCGCCGACTGGAAGGGTCTCAAAATTACGGTAAAGTTAACAATTCAGAACAGACAGGCGGCCATCTCTGTCGTACCGTCGGCCGCATCGCTACTCATTAAGGCTCTTAAAGAGCCGCCGAGAGATCGAAAGAAAGTAAAGCACGTGAAGCACAACGGAAACTTGACTTTCGATGAAATCCTCGGTATTGCCCGTCAAATGAGGCCAAGAAGTATGGCCAGAAAACTTGAGGGTTAGTGTTTGACATCTGGTATTGATTTTTAAGTATTTACTAATTGTTTAATTTTAGGCACTGTTAAGGAGATCTTAGGCACAGCTTCGAGTGTCGGATGTACTATTGATGGATCACATCCTCGAGATATCATCGAAAAAATTAAGAATAAAGAGATCGACGTTCCCGACGAATGATGTGACCATTGATTGACTTAATAATAAAATTGAATAAAATTAATGTTTTGAACTAATAATGACTTGAATTTATTAATCAATTCTTACCGTAATTTAATACTTTTGCTATCATTTGATGCACTCATGAGTTGTAATAAACTCGACGTTATTACTGACGAACACTTCTCCAGAAATTAGGTGTAATCTCTGTTGCAATTTGTGATGATTTGAAGTACAAGTTGTGGTGACTGACCATCAATTGGTACGATAGGTAGTGACCAGTCATATCTCGTATGTCTATATCTGGCCAATGATTGGACACTATTTACTCATTGATTGTCACAAACGATAACAACCAGTGATTGACTGTTATTAGTGTCAAAGCATTCGTACAGTTATTGACTGAAATTTGTAGACAATCTAAGTGTGAATGTAATAGAAATCATCAATAAATGAAATTATGTCAAAACGTGTTGTCGACAGACAGTCTTTAGCCGCAGACTTAATGACCAATAAATTGCCGAAAATGGAGCCCTTGGATGAAGACATGTTGGACGAGGAACTGCTTAATGATGATGAAGATGATGACGACGATGACGAAGACGATGAAGACACTGAGGGCGTCATTACCATTGAGGGCATCGAACTGGAGGCCAGTTGTGAACGCGTTAAGGATTGTCTCAAACAAAACAAGATTGAAGTCGAAGACATCGATGGCTATGACTTCTATTTACAAGACATGCGCCTTGAAAATGACAAATCCATTATATCTCAGTGTAATTTAGTCGAAGGCGCTAAACAACAGACCCGACTCATTAACATTAAGCTGGCCTTTGATCCCGACTATAAACGGGTCAACATTTTGGACATTCTTAAGCCACCCGATACTTCCAAATCAGTGACCAATTCCAGCAGTCATTCAAACAATAGTGGAAACAATGGATTCAATTTGTCTAATAATAGTAATCTAAACTCAACACAAAGTCAGTCATCACAACAAAACAAGCAATTTCTTCAACCGAAGCGACTCATTGGTGGCATTAAAAACAATCACAACAATGAGGGACAAGGAATCCCATCGCCTGGTAATCGGTCCGGAAATAATGGACAAATTCAGTTGTGGCAGTTTTTACTGGAACTGTTAACAGACGCCGATCACAGAGATTGTATTCAATGGATTGGAAGTGAAGGTTTGCAAAACAGCTAAAGTAAATCATTATAATATCAAATTAATGGGTTTTTTCAATTTCAGGTGAATTCAAACTGAATAATCCTGAAGTAGTGGCACAGCTATGGGGTCTCCGCAAGAATAAACCGACGATGAACTATGAGAAGTTGTCGCGTGCGCTCAGGTATTATTACGACGGAGATATGATAGCCAAAGTCCACGGAAAAAGGTTTGTCTATAAGTTTGTCTGTGACCTCAAGTCACTCATCGGATACGATGCACAAGAACTCGATCGACTCGTATGTCAAACACAAAACAAGAGGATGTCTAGTGTTTAGATTTCTATAAAATTATTGATTTTTTATACCGTTTTGTAAATTTTTGGAAATTATTATTATTATTATTATTATTATTAATTTATTATTATTAGTATATACTTTAAATATTACTACATATAATTACATTGATTTATAATTTAATTTAAATATAACATAATGTATTGTACATTGTTTTTGTAACTTATATTTGGTAAAGAAATGACAAATATGTAAATCAAGCATTTAATCACTCCCTCCGCTAACATATAGCACAACCATTGTATCGATCGTTTCATACCATTTGAGTCTCAATTATGTGTTGGATTTGGTTATCCTTTTGAGACATTTATTATCAGTTTATATATAATAAATGTTTTGCTTATAGTTATTGTTATCCATATGTTATTTATAGTAACATTAAAATTATCTTTTACAACATAATATATTATATATTTGTGGTTTTAAATTTATTTTCATCTATTATAAGAAAATAATAGTAAAACATTTCAAATAAAAAGATTATATAGTATTCGGCGGCTATTTTAAGTAAAAATTGGTTTAATTCAGTGATAATCTGAAAATGTCTAAATAATGTTTTATATTAATTAATATTTTGCTCATAAAGTCTATAAATATATATACAGTACAGTATATATATATATATATATATATATATATATATATGTTTTTCAGAGAAGCAATAATAAGTCAAATGAAAAATGAAAATTTACTCAATAATAAAATAAATTAAATAATTTAAAAAAAACTTAAATTGATTCATAAAACTATGGCGATTGATAATAATGATCCACAGGTTTTGCTTGAAAAGAGTAATAGTTTTGAGGAGAATAGTGGTGAAGACGAAGAGGAAGAGTATATCGGTAGAGATGAACATCAGAAGCCATTGATTGAGAGTGAATCAGTTGCCATCGATGGTCTCAATGCTCTATCAATTGGCAAAATCAAGATTTTTAAACCTCGACGACGCAAACGATTTTTACTCAAAAGATATTGTAAATTCTGTTCAACTATTTTAGTAATAATTGTTGTTTTGCTTTATTTATATCGATTGAGAGCTTCGTTATACTCGACATACGAATCAATAATATTAAGTAAATCCAGTTGTGATCGATTGGCCACAACTCTGGTCTGGAATAAGACGTTTCCAATGCTTACTATTGAATCTGCTCTAAGACTTGTTGATATCAATAATGACACCATTCTTGATATTATTGTCCCATTTGGAACCGGTATGTGATTTATATAAATATATACTAAATTTCTTTAATTGATAATTATTAGGTTTAAAAATATAAATATAATAAATGTTTATAATTTATTGATAATTATAGAGTTGTAATTAACTTTTGTTTTTTATGATTTGTCGCAATATTTATCTCAAGAATTTGCTGACAATTAAGAATATTCTAATTATTACTAAGCAATCAAATGTACGGAATATTATATAAACAATATTTTCACAAATATTAATAGAAATTAAACACAAAAAAAATTGAATAATTAATGACAACTCTATTTTGATGAGTTGACTGATTATAAAATAAATAAATTACTTGAGATAACAGCTTTTTAGCACAATTTTTGACAGTTATTTGCCTAATAATTGCAATGAAAATATTTGTTTTAAACCCATTAGGTTTAGACGCTTCATCTTATAATTATATTTCATGTCAAATATACTTCAATCAAACAAAATCTTCTACATCTGGATGTGGTGGAGGTGTTATGGCCATCGATGGACGAAATGGTGAATCTTTATGGACACGCTATATACCACATGAACTATTTGCCAGTAATTGTAATGAAGATATCAATGGCGATACAGTTAAGGATTGTATTCTTGGCGGACGAATGGCTGTTAGTTTAAGGAAATTGTAATTAAAATGATATTTCTATAAAAATGATATATTTATTTTAGACATTATATGCAATCAATGGTGCGACTGGTGATGTCATTTGGTCTATAAATGCTAATATAGGCGAACCTATTGTCGAAACATCAAACTTTTATACTCCTCTGTATGTTCCTCGAGATGTAGATGCAGACGGAGTACCAGATATTGTTGGTAAGCACTTTAAAAGAAGTGATTTTTATTTGAAAATAAATAATAATTTCAAAAATATTGTCAATAATAGTCATCCATGGAGGGGATCCACTGAGAAAACCTACCGAAAGAACACGAATTCCCGGCCGATTGCTTGTCATGTCTGCCAAAACTGGTTTGATATTCAAATAAATTTTTAATTATAGGAATTGAAAATAAAAAAATTCAATTGATTTTAATATTATAGGCGCTATATTGTCGTGGAGTTTAGTTCCCGATCGTTCAGAAAGTTATTATTCCCCTCAACTACTAGTCCATCCCGATAATACTCTATTAATATTATATGGAACGGGAGGTGAGACACACGCCGGCTCTTTTTATGCCATTTCATTTGAAGATCTACTGAACAAACGTATGGAGAATTCACGAGTTATATTCAGAGACTGTTGTAAAGGAGTTATGGTTCCGCCGGCGCTCATTGATATCAATAATGATGATGTCTTAGACATTGTTATGACTTTGTTTAACTCGACTGTCATTGCTTTTGATGGACTAGAGTTTAAGGAGTTGTGGAGAACAGTCTTTATCGGATCTGAAACATACAGTACACCAGCTGTCGGTTACTTCAACAATGACACAACACCTGACTTTGCAGTCATTTATCAATTTGGACCGGGATTTCCTGTCTATTACTCGGCTCAGGTATGTAATAATATACAGTATATTAATACTAAAATTATATAATATTTAGTTTACAATATTGGATGGAAGAAATGGTAAGCAATTGTTGAAACAACCAATAGATATGCTAATTGGGACGCAATCGTCACCAATCACTGTATCGACAAAAAGTACTAACGATTTCTTCATGTTTTGGTATTCTTCCTGTGAATTAAACCAAAACACTACTCAAAATTCAAGCGCTCAGGCATTTAAAATAGCTCCCGGTGTGTGTCCATTATATTTATTATACATATATATATATATACGGGTATTATAACATATTTATGAATGTTATGTTTGTATTAAAAGGCACAACAATTCACGACAATTCAAGGGCTGACTTTTGTAAATTGCGATTCAATGCAACACTTTTCACACAATTGAAAGCTTTAAGTCCAACTAATACATCCATTATCTATGACTCTAGAGATTATCCAATAATAAATGCCGTCAATTATTCAGCCATCGGATATAATTGGCTTCAAAACAATATGTTTTTGTCAAACGATTTTTATGATCAGACAAAACCAGTTCAAGACAATTATAATTATCAACAGCAGCCCTACCAGCCCTACCAACCCTATCAACCCTATCAAGAATATCAACCATACAAACGTCAGTCTTATTCAGACAGAATATCTGACCAAAATTACGACACCCGACCTAATAATTTTGACAATATTTTTAAAACAAGACGAAGATTTAAAAGACATGTTGGCGTTCACGACGGCGAAGGCATTCAACGGGTGATTTCAACAGGTTTTCTATATTTTTTAATAATATTTATATTTATCTGATATACAGTTTATATGACAATCTTTATATGAATTATATTACTTTAGGTACATTAGCCCCTCCTTTAAGCGGAGATACAAAAACAATAGATTATATATTTGCTACCTTTTGGTTTCCACCGGCAAAAAATGTACGGTTAATGTCAGAAAAAGTCGAAGAATGTGTCGCCAAATATATGGATCCAAGAGAAGAGAGTAGACAAAGACTGGAATCAAGTGATTCATATTTTAAGCGAATGGGTTACGATCACGACGCCTATCAACAAACTGTTAAAGATATGTGCGCTCATATGGATGACCATCAAACACAACCTTTACCACAATCCAGTAACCTATTGGCTAATGAGTTGGTTAAAGATATGGGAGAATTGACATTATTTCGAGTTAATCTTAAATGTATATCCGATCAAAAAGACAACAAATTAGGCGCTATTAAAGAGTTTACTAATCAATGGTGGCCATCATATATGGGTAAAGATGGTGATTGTGTGGTCAATGTTAATGATGTGAGCGTCGACTTTAAGAAACAATAAAATAATTATCAAAAACAAAACTAAATGCAAATTAACAATTGTATTGATAAACAGATTAATGTTTATATTTTGTGGTATCTATCAATGCAAAACAATTTTTAAAAATTTTATGATAAATGTTTGGTATTTTATAAAATGCAATTCTGTATCTATTTTACTTCCAAAATCATTGTTATTGTTTTTATGGACCAATTTGTGAATTAAATATCGATTATTATTTGGTGTATATATTTAATGAGTACCTAAATTATTTAATTTTTTTAATTACCAGAATATTAATATTTCTAATATACTGTAGTATACATTTTTATAATTTGTTATTTTTAACACAATTTTTTAAAGTCATTTAAAGTCTTTATATTATTTTATTATGTAAATTATCGATTTAATTATATTTAAATTTTAAAAATATTATTCATCAGAATTTATTATAAATTTGGTTAAGAACTGTTAAATAGTTTGTATTTCAATATTATATAAAATTTTAGTTGAATTGATTAAAAATCTAGTGGCAAACAAAAGAGTCATTTATAGGATCGATAAAATAAGTTAGTTGTTCATCAAAAAAGTCAAACTCAAGCCTTCAATTTACTTTAAAGACATATCATTTGTTACAAATAATGCTTTCATTTGATGTCATACTCTCCTCTTTCTCTATGTCTTTCAATCAGTCGGAATGAACTGATGCCAAACCAATGATTTTCTCTAAAAAACAAAACAGTCATCTAAACTGATCCGTAAAAAGTATTGATATGTTAGATGTGTTGGAAGTGTTGGATATGTTGTACTAAATGATGACTTTCCCCAAAATGAATGTTTGCCGTTGTATTGTTCCACTGGGAGACCAAACAAACACATATTTACTCGACTTCTTTACACAAGCCATCACTCTTAGGTCAGACCTATGAAATGAAATGAAATGAAATGCCTTTGCAATGCAATCGCATACTATTATGGGATTACTTTTAGACTAAACTAAATTGCTTGACTACCCATTCAACAGTTACCTTAAATGATAATTTCAAATGTCAATCGACTAAATTATATACATTTTGTTTATTTTATTATTCTCGATATTGAATCTACAATATATATATAATGTATAAATTGTATATAAATAAATATATACAGTATAAGTATATATATTAAATTATTATTAAATTAATTTAATATGATAATATTAAAATACTAACAGCAATGTTGCTTATTAGACAAATTTCAATTAACCCTTAATGTAAAGTCATTAGATATAAACATATAAACTATAATAGATTTTATACAAAATTTAGTTTTTTAATATCATTTGCTCAAAGTGTTAAAATAATAATTGATTAAAATAATGTTTATTAATTTACTTATTTTATTTTTTATATTTAGTTTAAACTTACAGTCTTTTTATAAAGAGTTAAATATATCTAATTGGCATAAATTAATGCCATGAAAATCAATTACCTAAAGTTACAAAAAATGATAAGTCGATAATAAAATAATTTTAATAAAAATCTAAATTATCATAATTTATTTTTTTTATTTAAAACAATAATACAATTACTTTTAAAATTACTCATTTAAATTTTTAATAATCATTAACATTATACTACACATTAAATAAAATTACCGGTATCTATAAGCTAATTAAAAATACAAATCAACAAATAATTTGTTTGTACCAATAATCATATTAATTATTATAAGTACAAATTACAAAAATAATAACTCAAACAAATATAATATTTTTTATTTATATTATTTATATAGTATATAAAGATCTAAATACTTAAGTAAATTTTATATTAAATTTGAATGAAAAAATTAATTATTATTGATTTGACTAATATTATATTAATTATTGTTTTTATTGACTACTCTTAAACCACATTTAATTAACATTTAACCACATAGTTAATATATTAATACTCAAAACTTAAATAGTATTTATTTTCGTTATTTAAATAATATTTTATTTTAGTTTTCTCAAATATTGTATTATAATATTCAACATTAAATTTATAAATCATATATAATATAATGAATATCAACTTGCTCAATTTTAATAGTTGTATTTTAGAAATTCCTACTCTATATTTTCATCTTTAATTCAAATTATAAAATATTTTTTAAAAACCGATAGTCAAACAAACCTAACAAATTCAGATATGACTTCTTTCAGTAGTTTGTAATAATATTAAACCAATATTTCTATTTTATTTATTATAATATAATTTTAATCTAAATTTGTTATATATATTTTTTGCGGTATTGATAAATATATTAAGACCACAATAACAAAATTTAAAAACTTGTTTTGTTTTTTGCACATTTACTATTACACTATACTGTAAATGTGTTTAAATTGTGTGTTTCAGCAAAACATTAATATTTAGTAATTTAAAATGTTTGCACAATTTTAATGAGTATTTCACTTTATCTACAATATCTCAATTTATTGACATTAAATTATACAATTTTTAAAATTAAATCAACTAATAATTTAGTTTGAATTTATAATTAAATCATTATTTATTTTGATGACTAAAATTAAAATTAATTGTTTTTATTGTTATAAATAAAAACTTATATTAAGTATGATATTGTATTTTATTTCTATATTTAGTATAAGTTAGACAATTGCAATAAAACAATGAAAAGTATATATTAAATATAATATATTATTAAAATATAGTGAAGAAAAATCCTGTATAAGGTTTGAATAGATATAAATCTATTGAACAGTAAATGTGAAGAAATTGTCTAAATTTGCTAATTTGTATGCAATGTCTGCACTTTCAGTGCTGTCATAGTTATGATGCGTTCATCACATCACAAAAGATGACGATAATAATGATGGCTTCATATGAGGCAATGACAACACTTTAATCTTTATATATATGAAAAGGAAAGCCAGAGTCAGTCTAATAATTCAGTGATAGTCTTGATTTGTGACACCAGTCTATGACTCTCTTATTCTTTCTGTTTATAAGTATATATAACTTATTTTTATTTATTATAGAGAATAGTCTAACTAATGGTTTGGTATATCATATATATATATATATTTATATTATAACATTGCACCTAAACATTGTAGTTGTGAAAAACAAATAGAATTGTATTAATACAACTAATGTTATGAATGATTTTCAAATTATAAATAAATTAAAATGTAAATTATTTTCTGTTTCTTTAATTGTTGAATATATTTTCAATTACTTTGATTGCAGTAAATGTGGGCTAAAAATAAAAATAATTATAAAGAATAAAAATGCACACTTCTCTCTAACTTAGTTAATAATTAAATTACAAAAGTAATGTTACAAATTAATATAATATAAATATATTTTTAGTAATTTATCACAAACCGTTGTTAAATTATAAATATTTAATTTTTAGTATATTTATGTGTCTTAAATGAAAACTTACGAAAAGACTGGCATAACATTTTTATAACAATATTTTGAGATTAAATGAATACAAAGTAATCAAATTTACAATACTGTATAAACTTCATAAATAATATTCAATAGTCAAATAATTTTAATGTTTGTAGTTTTTTCAATACTATGATGTTTTGGATCTACCCATACAGTGCTTGGGGTATGTGTTCACTTGCAATCATATCGATCCAAGAGTGGGTGAGAGAGAGAGAGAGAGAGAGAGCGTCATCATGAGTGACAACTTGACGGATGCCATCATTTGGTACATTGTGTGCCAGGATTTACACAAATAATATTTTTCGTATACTTTTGTGTGTTAAGACTTAACGACCTGCTATTTGGTCTCATTCTTCAATGTCTTCAAATGTCTTTACAATCACAGCACTGTTAGACTTAAAGTTTATACCATTTTGTGATGAATAGAGTAGCCATTAAAGTGAATGTTACGACAGTCCCTATAAAAGCTTAGTCGGCAAATAAAATTCAAAACTTTGGTGACTCTAACTATAAAAAGACAAAATAAATCATTGAATAAAAACTAAACCCAATTCGGCCATAAAGTTAGTAAACATTATGAAGAAATTGAGACTTTGGATGAGACATACACTCTATGTATGACTGAACTGTAAATATTTCAAAGTAAAAATGAAAGAGAGAGAGAAAGAGGGAAAAGGAGAGAGAGAATGGTTTACATTAAAACTTTTTCATATGTTTGCAAAGCTGTAAAATAGATACTTTAATATATGAGTAGTGTTGGTGTTGGTGATGGTGTTGGTGTTGGTGTTGGTGATGGTGATGGTGATGGTGTTGGTGATGGTGGTGTGGATCACATCTCATCCACACTTTGATATGACATATTCAGATGTGTTGCTGAGCAACCCTGTAGTATGCAATAAGCATTTGACAATTTATGTGTATGTGTTTTAATGAGCCTAACAAATGGATGTGGATATATGTGATGGTATGATCAGTCAGTCTCAGCTCAGCCATCAATCCTGTAACTCAAATGCTTGACGTCTCAAATGCACGAATCAACTCTTGTATAGTGAAAGAGACACTTGATTTGTGGTTATTGCCATTACATTTACGATTATATTGCCTGAGCTATGGCACAACTAACGATATATTGGCACTTTCACTACCAGTGCGATCGCATTTGAATTATGAACGTCTAATAATATTAATAGAGAAAACGTTATATAAAAATATATAAATTATATAACTTATATACAATAATCATAATAGCCATCATATATATAATCATGCTTTAAACGAGCCTAAAGTAAAATAAAAGTTAATACAACTATAAGTTTTATTATAGAAAACTGTTTTACATATATTTTATCAGATAATTAATGCCATAAACTTATATACACTTATGTATATAAAGCGCTAATTTATGTCCAAATAAATAAGTAATATTCAACTCATTTACAATACTTTGTTTCCAACAAAACATCAAATATGAGTTTTACATAAAATTTATATCAAAAATAAAACAATATTATTTGATTTATACTTTAATATATATATATATATATTATAAAAAAATTTATGTGCAATAACTTTGTTAAAAAATAACTGTAGTATAAACTGAACTA